TGGAGTCTAGGCTGCTTTGGGTGGAGTCAGGCTGCTGGGGGTGGAGTCGGCATTTCTGGGGGTGGAGTCTAGGCTGCTTTGGGTGGAGTCAGGCTACTGGGAGTGGAGTTGGCACTTCTGGGGGTGGAGTCGGGCTGCTGGGGGTGGAGTCAGGGCTGCTTTGGGTGGAGTCAGGTGGCTGGGGGTGGAGTCGGCACGGCGGGGGGGGGGTCCGCGGCGGTGGGGGTGGAGTCAGGGCGGCGGGGGCGCCGCCCGCCGGCTGCGGGGGCGGGGGGCGGGCGGCTGTGGTGCCGCTGTCCATGGTTCTGCTTACCACCCCAGGCCTTCTGACCCTCCCGGAGACAATGGTGCTGGGGGAGACAGGAGTGACAGGAAGGGACAGAGGTGTTGGAAATTGCAGAGAAGGAAAAAGGGTACATTTATTTGTCTGGGCATCTAAGAACGACCAGAGTTGCCAAGAAATAATTTTTTAGGCCCCACAGAAGTATCCCCTCTGGATCCCTTGCCTGAGCTTTGTGGGTGTCATATGGCTATCAGAAAAGCATGCCTCTACCCAGAAAGAGATTCTGTGGTTGCCACGCACCAGAAGTGGCCTTGGTCAGGCAGAAACAGAGACTGGGAAGGAGTCTCTGGGAACAGAGACTCCCTGAAGGGAGACTGAGGCAAGCAGTGCCCAAGCTTGATGCCCTTGGAGCACAGGTTGGGCGGGGCGCAGGGGAGGAGGGAGCAGGAGGCATGGTCAAAGTTTATTCCCAATTCTCTTGTTTCACATCATGAGAAACCTCAACCCTGAGGCTAGAATCTGAGGGTAGAGCTGCATCAGGTTGACAGGCCTTCTGGGTTGTGCCTCTCCGACTCATGTGATGTGCCTTCCTTCCCCCTGTCCTTCCACAAGCCACTTCTTTGAGGGCTGGCCTGTGACTCACCAAAGCAAGATAGGAAGAGATGCTTCCTCCCCTTCAACGGCTCACAGTCTGCCCAGGAAGCAAGCGATTAGCACACGTACCACGGACTGAGTGCTCATGGTGGGCTCTGGGGCAGAGGGTAGGGTGGGGTAGAGGCCAGACTCAGTCAGAACCTCCTGGAGGACACTGAACCAGCCTTAAAGGCTAAGCAGATTTACTCTAGACAGAGTAAGGGAGATGTGCAAAGGCACTGGGGCAAGGAAGGCCTTGGCATGATGGGGAATGTAGCACAAGAGCCCAGCTAGGTCGTGAGAATGGGGTTGGAGGATTCACCGACGCCACATCCTGGTGGGATGCCCAGGTGAGAGATCTGGATTTCATACCACAGGGGTACATGAGTTTCCTGGGGTTGCCATGTTGGGTGGCCTCAGACAATAGAGATGTATGGTTTCACACTTCTGGAGTCCAGAAATCCAAAATCAAGGTGTCAGCAGGGCCCTGCTGCCCCTGAAGGGGAGACTCCTTCCCACCTCTCCCAGCTCCTGGTGTGGCCAGCAACCCTGGGTGATCCCTGGCTTATGGACACATCTCTCCCGTCTCTGCCACATCCTCACACGTCCTGCGTCTGTGTCCAAATTCCCCTTTTCCCATAAGCACAACACTCACTGGACTGACGGACACCTTAATCAAGTATGGCCTCTTCTTTTTTTATTAAAAAAAATTTTTAATGTTTATTTTTGAGAGTGAGAGAGACAGACCTCGAGCAGGGGAGGGGCAGAGAGAGAGAGAGAGAGAGAGAGAGAGAGAGAGAGAGAGAGAATCCGAAGCAGGCTCCAGGCTCCGAGCTGTCAGCACAGAGCCCAAAGCAGGGCTCGAACCCACGCACCGCAAGATCATGACCTGAGCCGAAGTCAGACACTTAACTGACCCACCCAGGCGCCCCCCTCCGCCCCTTTTTAAGATTATTTTTTAAATTGACCTTTTCTTAACTTAATTACATCTGCGATGGCCCTGTTGCCAATAGGTCACATTCCAAGTGCTGGGAGGAAGGACTTGAGTTATCTTTTGGGGGAGGGGAACAGAATTCAACCCAGCACAGAAAGATGAAAGTCATATGGTGCACCTTACATATTAAAGAAAGCCCACTTTGCAGGTGGCTTGCCCACTGTAGGTAAGCAAGCGCTGTGCTTCCGGGAGCCATCCGGGTCCGCTCTGAGTTTACCCGAGAGGCTTCAGCTCTGCACAAAATGAGCCCTTCCTGGGACTTGAGGAAACAGCAAGCTTCCACCTGGCCTTGAAAGCCGCAGCCCTGTGGGCCGGCGGGGTTAGGGCCTGTTGGGAAACAGCGGGCTTCTTCTCCGGGGAGCCTGGAGGCCTGCTCAGTCGGCTTCTCCAACTCAGGAGAAGTTCTCTGCTTTCTGGTCTGTTCCTAGGACTCACCAAGCATCTTCCGGCCTCAGGGCCTCTGCCCAAATGGAAGGCCCTTCCCCCAATCTTCTCTCTACACAGAAGTCCCCTCCTGGGGGCGCCTGGGTGGCTCCCTCCATTGAGCGTCTAACTTCAGCTCAGGTCCTGCTCTCACAGTTCGTGAGTTCGAGCCCCACATCAGGCTCGCCGCTGTCGGTGCAGAGCCCTCTTTGGATCCTCTGTCCCCCCTCTCTCTCTGCCCCTCCCCTGCCCATGCTGTCTCTCTCAAACATAAACATTAAAAATATTTTTTTTTAAGTCACCTCCTCAAAGAGGCCTTCCTTGACTGCCACTACTGTGCCTCACCTCCTCCCTCTTCTTTCTTATTTTCTTTGTTGCAGGTATCACCTTCTGCTTCCTCCAACTGTTTGTTTACTCAGTGTTTACATCTCTCCTCTCTTGTATCAGTCAGGGTTCTGCAGAGAAACAGAACCAATAGTTTTCCATTCTCTACATGTATGATATGTATTATTAATCATATTATACATTGAAAATCATATTGTGACAATTATATAATATGTCATATTATAGAATTGTACATTTACATATAAGTTATATTTGTGTTACTATGTTTATTAATTTACATATTCTTTTATTTTTTAATATTTATTTATTTTTAGAGAGAGAGAGAGAGACAGACAGACTGCCAGTGGGGGAGGCACAGAGGGAGAGGGAGACACAGAATCCGAAGCAGGCTCCAAGCTCTGAGCTGTCAGCACAGGGCCTGACGTGGGGCTGAACCCACAAACCGTGAGATCATGACCTGAGCCAAAGTCAGATGCGTAACCGACTGAGCCACCCAGGCGCCCCATTAATTTACATATTCTTTATTAATGCATTATGCTATTGTATGTTTTGTGTTATATATGCAATTATGTGCAATTACATATAATCGTATGTATAATTGTGTGTTTTTACATGTAACATAAAGTATAGAACATATTGTATATTTTCTATTTTATTTTGTACGTAAGCATTTTATTTGAACAAGTTTTAGGGGGGCGCCTGGGTGACTCAGTCGGTTGAGCATCTGACTTCGGCTCAGGTCATGATCTCACGATTTGGGAGTGCAAGCCCCTAATTGGGCTCCATGCTTTCAGCGCAGAGAATGATTTGGAATCTGTCTCCCCTTCTTTCTCTGCCCCTCCCCCGCTTGAGATCTCTCTCCCTCAAAAATAAACATTAAAAATAAAATAAAATTTTTAACTTCATTTATCTATTTTGAGAGAGACCGAGCATGAGCAGAGGAGGGGCAGAGAGCGAGGGAGAGAGAGAGAATCCCAAGCAGGCTCCCCACCGTCAGCACAGAGCCCGATGCGGGGCTTGATCTCACGAGCCGCGAGATCATGACCTGAGCAGAAATCAAGTCAGAGTTGTTTCTTCCCCGGGGAAACCTCGATGCCTTTCCCTTGCGTGAGACCCCTATTGTGGAGGGAGGCCTCGTACTTAAAGTCGCCACCTGCTGGACGCGAACACGTCTACCAGAAACCGGGCTGCAGCCCGGAGCCCAGACACCTAACGTACGTTTGGGAACTGAAGGAAAAGTCTCCCTCGGGTCCTCAGTTTCCCAGTCTGCACCAAGGAGCTGGATGCTTTCCCCACCCTGACATTTCGGCTGCAGCTGGGCCACATCCTGCTAGGTTAGGGGCCCAGGTAGGCTTTATGTGGACCCGCCCAGGGTTGGGAGGCTGAATCACATCCTGATGAGAACCGGACATCCTGGGCTGCAAAAATACCCCGCTGGGGTCGGTGCACATGTGCGGACCAGGCACAAGGGGGCAGTAGAGGGCAATGACTGGAATCAGCTTGGCCACCGGGTAGTTTCTCTGACTCCAGCCTGTGGGGCCAGCCTCAGTTTCCTCCCCTGTGCAATGGGCTCCTACCTGCCTCCGAGGGTTGCTGTGGGGAGGAAATAAGATCGTGCCGCGAACATTCCAACCCGGCACACAGCGAGTGCCCTGTCCATGGGGTAAGTGAGGGTTCAGACTCGGTCTGGACCAGGATTTGACGCCTCAGACGTTGATGGGCACTGGGCGGGCAGGTGCACGTGAGAGAAGGAACCAGAGCAAAAGTCCGGCCCCCAGGTGAGCGGGAGGGGCCCACGTTCAGCTCCTGGGGGGTTGTTACCACTCACAGAGGGCAGGTCCGTAATTGAAGAAAAGACGGAAACCCGAAATATTTGTGTCATGTCTCTGACTCGGCCGCAAATTTAAGATGCTTTTAAGTGCTGTGTGGGCAGGACAAGGCTAGAGGTGGGGCCTCAGCCGTCAGTCTGCAGTTGGGGGTCACCTGGCAGGTGGCTGGTGTCTCTCCTGGGCTCTGGGGCCCTGGACTCATTCAGGAGTCACCCGTGTTGGGAGCAAGGGTGGCAGCTACAGACAAGACCGAGAGAGCAGGCGTGTGACTTGACTCTTCAGCCCCCGTCTGCCCTTTCTGTCCTTCTTCAAGGCGTGGTTTTCTTTTGAGGGAAGATTCACATAGCATAGGATCAACGGTTTTCAGTGCACGATTCAGTGACGCCTGGTACATTCACAACGCTGTGCAACCGTCACCTCATCAAGTTCCAGAACATTCCATCTCCCTAAAAAGTAACCCTGGCCTCATCAGCTGCCCCCCCCAACCCCCGGCCCCCACGAGCCCCCTTCCCGTCCGTGGACGGGCCTGTTCTGGACGTTTCACGCACGTGGACTCACACCCTGTGTGGCCTCTCGTGTCTGGTTCCCTCCCTGAGCGTCGTGTGTTCGGGGTCCGTTCCTGGGGGGCAGCGGGTGTGGGCGCCTCGCTCCTGCTCACGGCCGGGTGACCTTCCGGTGCGTGAGGGACACATATCCCTTCACCCATCCATGGACACGGCGTGTTTCCACTTTGTGGCTACTGTGAATCATATCACACTGGGGTGTGGGTTTTTTTTTTTTAAGCTTACTTATTTTTTGGCGGAGGGAGGGACAGAGAGAGAGAGAGAGAGAGAGAGGAATCCTAAGCAGGCTCCATGCTGTCAGCATAGAGCCCGACACCAGGGCTCGAACCTACGAACCGTGAGATCCTGACCTGAGCTGAAGTCAAGAGTCACGCTTAACTGACTGAACCCCCCCCCCAGGCGCCCCTGCAGTGTGGGTGTTCGTGTGGACGCACGCGTTCATTTCCTTTGTGCCTGTTCCAGTTTGACCTTTGACCTGTATGACTGCAAAGCAACTTCCTGTTCATCCTTCCCCTCCCAGACCCGCCACTGCGCCTGGATGTTCTGGGGGGGGGGGGGGGTGGCGGCAGGAAAGGAAGACGGAAAGGAAGAGGAACAGACAGAGGGAGCGAAGGGCTTTGAAAAGGAAAGGAGGAAGCATTCCATCGCCCTCCTCTCCCCACGCTCTGGCTCCCCGTTGGGCTGAGCCTGCACTGCTGAGTTGCGGAGGCGAATTAGGGCTTCCCTGAGTCAGCACCCCCGCGGCAGCCCCGGGCTCTCTGCAGACCTTCTGCCTCCCGGGATGGGAGTATTTCGCCGGGAGCAAAAGGAGCCGGGGCGCCTGGGTCCAATGCACCGGCGTTGAGCTCCCCAAAGCGGTCCAGGCGTTGCCAGGAAAAAACCGCCTGGTTTTGCAAATCCATGCCCGGCCAAGCATCAAGGGGCACAAATGCATGGTCGGTGGCGTTACTTTAGAAGACACCCAGGGACTCCCCAGACCCCCCCCCCCCCACGCCCCGCCCCGAGTCTTGTCCATGCTGTTTGTTTGCACTCCGCGCTCTGGTGACTGATACCTGCTCTCTGCTGGGTCCGCAGGCCACTCCCGGAAGAGACAGGGATGGACCCGCTTGGCAGCCCCACGGAAGACACGTCCTGTAAGTTTCCACGGGTGCAAAAACGGGCACGCTGTTTCCAGGTCCCGCTCTGCCTGAGGCCGTAGGTGTCGAAATGTCCGAGGCGGACCGTCAGGGAAGGGGGGGCTTCTGCGCGGGGCCCGGCGGGAACGCCCCCGGGGGGGGGGGGGGCGGGGAGATGCGCGGCCGAGTCATGTGGTGTTGCTGTGTATCCTTCAGCTGGTTGCCCGGCCTCTCTGTGCCTCCAAGTCCTTATTATTAAATGCAGGTCGTGAGCTCCCCGTGGAAGGGGGACTGCCAGGATTAAATGAGGTGACATGTGTTAAGTGCCCAGGGGACGCCAGGCGCAAAGTCAGCCCTGGAGGGCTCTGCTGTCCTAAGCGCTCAGGAAGGCTCACGGCTCTGAGGACCCAAAGCCCCAGAATTTGGGGACAGGGGGTCCAGGACAGCCAGAGGAACTGTCCTAAACATGTGTTCTCCTCAGTGGCATCCCCTCATGTGGTCTTGCTGGGGGGGGGGGGGGCCCACTCTGCCTGCGTCTCCCCCGTGCAGCTCATCACAGCTCATCCTACCCTTTCGGAGGAAAGACTGACCAGAGAGGGACAGCCGCGCCCCTGATATCACACAGCAGTAAGAGCTAAGACCAGCTTGTCCCAGCTTTCTGGGGCCACTCAGGATGGTTGGTCCCCCTAGAGTACTGGGCCTGCTTCTGACCTGAGCACATGGACTCTGCCTGTCGTTGTCACCCCCAGAGGGTGATCTTGGGCGAGTCCCCTGACTGTGTTGGCGCTCTGTTTCCTACCTCTGCAAAACGAGAGGTGTGTGACAACCATACGCCTCTTCCTAGGTGTGACTGGTTGAATCGCAGCCCCCAAAGCATATCCAGATCCTAATCCTGGAATCTGTGAATGTCCCCTCACAAGGCAAAAGGGACTTCACAAATGACATTTAGTTAAGGAGATGGAGAGACTTGGTGGTGAATTTTATGCGTCCACTTGGCTGGGCCACAGTACCCAGAGATGTAGTCAAGCATTATTCTAGAGGTTTCCATTGAAAGTCACTCTTTCAATGAGATTCACATTTAAATGACTAGACTCTGAGTAGAGTAGATTGCATTTCCTAATATGGGTGGGTCTCATCTAATCAGTTGAGGGCCATAAGAGGAAGAAGACTCAGGGCAAAATTCCTCTTCAGCTGTGAACACGTGAAACCCCGGCAGGTTATTTGCTTCCAAAATATGACGGTGGGACAGGCATGGGATAGATGTCCTCATTCCGAAAAGCAGAAACAGGAGGAAAGAAAGGGATCGTCAGTCCCAGCAAGTCTGAAATTTGGCAGGACAAATTCCATCAGATTTTTTTTTTTTTTTTAGTGAAAATTCTATTCGATTTTCTTTCTTTTATTTTTGAGAGAGAGAGAGAGAGAGAGAGAGAGACAGAATCCCAGGCTCCACGCTGTCAGCACGGAGCCCGACACGGGGCTCAAACTCACGAACCGTGAAATCATGACCTGAGCCGGAACCAAGAGTCAGACGCTTAGCTGACTGAGCCCCGCCCCCGCCAGGTGCCCCATGACTATTTTGTTTTTACCGTTTTCTGCAGAAGCACACATTTATATCCCAGTGTGTGTCCTGAGGCGGTCACCTCTGACCCGTGGTTTAGGGCTGGAGAAATTCAAAGACCAAAAGGGGAAGGAGCTTGTCCGTTGAATTACGTGTCGATGAATGTCTTCATCTGGTGAGAGAGGGGCAGGGCTCTCCTATTGGCTCATTTATTTTGTCCTCACTGTCCACCGATGATTCCGTCCGCTGACACTTCTGGGGGAGAGTTCCCAAGGTCTCTGGAAGAACAACCTGTCTCCCTTGAGCTGGCTCAGGGGCATCTGGGGGCTTACCCCCCCGTAAGGCAACCTCCGTCAGGGGCTAGCCCTGCTCAGCTAGCTGTCGGATCAGCTTTAACCCCTTGGAGGCAGCCCCGGGGGGGTTGGGGGGGGGAGACCACCTCATACAAGGAGACCAGAGTTTCAGCTAAGAGTCTTCAGGAAAATGGGGCGCCTGGGTGGCGCAGTCGGTTAGGCGTCCGACTTCAGCCAGGTCACGATCTCGCGGTCCGTGAGTTCGAGCCCCGCGTCGGGCTCTGGGCTGATGGCTCGGAGCCTGGAGCCTGTTTCCGATTCTGTGTCTCCCTCTCTCTCTGCCCCTCCCCCGTTCATGCTCTGTCTCTCTGTCCCAAAAATAAATAAACGTTGAAAAAAAAATGTTTAAAAAAAAAAAAAAGAGTCTTCAGGAAAAAGCAGTTCAAACCGTGAGGCATACCCACGCTGACCAGCTCCAGAGAGATCCCTCTGTGCCTCAGTTTGCTCACCTGGTAAAGGGGACAATAACAGAACTCGCCTTGTGCGGATATCGCAAAGTCGAAACAGGAAAACGCTTGGGGGGGGGGGGTGCTGCGGAGAGGGCCTGGCCCATGCGATGTGATCAGTAAACTTCAGCGATTATGGAGGTGAACATCACTGAGAGGTGAAAAGCAGAATGTGGGCGTCCTCTGCCAGCCCCATCCGGAAGGCAACAGTGATCGCAGGTGTCGGCAGGCCCACCGTCTAGAGCCGGGCAGGCCATCCGTGTGACCCTGACCTGACTCACCGTTGCGAGTCTCACCTAGCGGCCGGTAAAATTAAGTCAGGCTCCGTCTGCGGGGTCACAGAGCCGGGAAGCAGCGAGGTCCAGGCGCCCGCCCTTGACGTCCAGGCGGCAAGGGCACAGCATGAACCTGTCCGGAAGGGATGTCGCCTGACTTGCAACCACATGGCGGGGCAGACCTCTCACCGGATCAGGAACCGGGCAGGGGGAGCAAGGAGGAAGAAGCCACAGTTGTTTTGTTCTCCCGTTTTCCAAACAGCCCCTCCCAACACATTGAACTTCAACGGAGCTCATCGTAAGCGGAAGACACTGGTCGCCCCCGAGATCAACATTTCGCTGGATCAGAGCGAGGGCTCCCTGCTGTCCGACGACTTCCTGGACACCCCTGATGACCTCGATATCAACGTGGACGACATCGAGACCCCGGACGAGACCGACTCGCTGGAGTTTCTGGGAAATGGCAATGAGCTGGAGTGGGAAGGTGAGGCCCAGGGCTGCTCCCCACGGGCTCAGCTGGGACAGGGGCTCCAACCCAGGGCTCACGGGACAGCCTCGGGAGGGTCCCTCCTCCGCTGCGACCCCACACCCGTTTTTCTTGAGGACTTGAGGGTTTTTCCAGGGGGCGTGGCTCTCCCGTGATCCTCAAAGGTGACCACGTCCGAAATGAAGTGCCTCCAACTCGTTGCACAGCTGTCTGGGGAGCATTTATTCGGGAGCAGATCTTGACTGGGGTGCGGGGCGGGTGGCGGGGATGTGGCAGGAAGAGGGGGTGCCCAGCCCCAAGCACGGTCGCCAGAAAGACCGACGCGAGGCACCGAAGCCAAAACGCACAAGCCGAGCGCCCCTGGCGCTCAGTGCTGTGAGGGAAACAAGGTGAGATGTTGGGACGGGGCGGAGGGGCTCACCCGAGGGACACAGGGCCGCGTCCGGGGACGTCTGGGGCCATCGCACTGGGGCTGCTCCTGGCACTGAGTGGGGCGGCCAGGATGCCCACCCGGGACGCCCCGAACGTGTGCAGTGCTGAGACGGGGAAGGATGGGCGTTACCTCTTTAGCTGTTTGCTGGAACTCGGCCTCGAAGCCACCCGGCGGTGGGCTGGAGGGAGGGAGGGAGGGAGGGAGGGAGGGAGGGAGGGAGGGAGTTTCCACCCCTGATCCAATCGCCCTGTCGTCACGGGTCTACCCCGTTTTTCTATTTCTTCCTGAGCCAGTTCTGGTGGTTTGTGCGTTTCTTAGAATTTAATTTTTTTTATAACGTTTATTTATTTTTGAGACAGAGAGAGACAGAGCGTGAACAGGGGAGGGGCAGAGAGAGAGGGAGACACAGAATCGGAAACAGGCTCCAGGCTCTGAGCTGTCAGCACAGAGCCTGACCGACGCGGGGCTCGAACTCACAGACCGTGAGATCATGACCCGAGCCGAAGTCAGACGCTTAACCGACTGAGCCACCCAGGCGCCCCGCGTTTCTTAGAATTTAGCCGTTTCGTCTAGGCCACCCGACACGTGTGCAGTGATTTGTGGGATTCTCTCGTCATTGTGTTTATTCTTGTCGCCCCAGAGGGGTTTTAGATGGGCCTCTGGCGGCGGAGGTAGGGGACACGCCGGAAGGAGGGGTCAGGGCTGGATGAAACACGGGAGGCGGAGGAGGACCGGGCCGTGGAGAGCCGCGTGCGTCGCTAGGGGCCGGGCAAGCGTGCAGGGGGTCCCGGTGCCAGGCTGCATCGTCTCTCTGTGTGCCAGGCTCCAAGGAGGGCACAGAATGAGAGCGCCCGTGCCCTTGAGCGCCCTCGCGGTTTGATGAAGCAGACAGACACGTTCACAGGCCCCGAGCCCCAAGCCCACAGAGTGCTCTAGGAAGCCAGGCTTTCTGGAGAAGGTGGCATTTGAGCCGGGCCGTGAAGGGAGAGCGGGGGGAGGGGGGGAAGTGGACGATCAGGGCCTCTGGGCGGGGAGAAGCACGTGGGCAAGGTCACGGGGGAAGCAGGAGGGTCACGCGTCCACAGGCAGCAGAGGCAGAGGGGGCCGGGGCGGGAGGCTGGGACCCAACGTCTGGACTGAGACGTCCCTTCTGCTCCCCCCCCCCCCCGGCTGGCTTCCAGATGACACCCCAGTGGCCGCCGCGAAGAACATGCCCGGTGACAGTGCAGATCTGTTCGGGGACGGCGCAGTGGAGGACGGCGGTGCCACCAACGGGCGCCTCTGGCGGACGGTGATCATCGGAGAACAAGAACACCGGATTGACCTGCACATGATCCGACCCTACATGAGGGTAGTGACCCACGGAGGTGAGACCGCACCCCGCGAGCTCCCCCTGGCTCCAGCCGGGCCGACCGGGGGTCATCAGAGGCTCCCTCTGAAGCTCAGTCTCTTCATCCGAGACACAGGGGCGTTAAGCCCGGTGTCCCCCCCCATCAGAGGCAGGCCGATCAGGGGTCTGCGGCTCCCCAAGAGCTCCCATGACTCAGAGCCGTGCCCTCCGGGAAGGAAGGGGCTGGTTGGCGAGGGGGTGGGAGCCCGGGGGAGAGCCCGGGGCAGCTCGGAGCGCAAGCCACTCACCGGCCGCCTCTCCCCAGGGTACTACGGCGAGGGTCTCAACGCCATCATCGTGTTCGCTGCCTGCTTCCTCCCGGACAGCAGCTCCCCCGACTACCACTACATCATGGAGAACCTCTTCCTGTAAGTGGCCCGCCCGCCCGCTGCGCCCCATGCCCTTGGCTCCAAGAGCCCCAGCCCGCGGGCTGGACCAGGCTCCTAGGACCACCCCTCGTCACTCCCACTTACTGAGCCTTTACTCTTTGGCGGCCCGCGAGGCCACGCGCTTCACGTGTGGAAACGCAGTCCACGCTCCGGGCAACCCTGTGGGGCGGACACCTCCACCTACAGGTGCAGCCCCCAACACACAGACAGGTTCAGTCACTCGCCCAAGGACACAGGGGTGCAGCTTCATAACGATGGCGTAACGCACCTGGCAGGTAACAGAAAGAGCTCAGTAAACGTGACCTACTTCAGTTCTAGTGATTATGGAGGTTTCCTTGTGACTCAGTGGGGCTCCGGTGCCCGGTGGTTCAGAGGACGAGGAGGCACCTGGGGGAGGTCAGGGCAGGAAGGGGCCCCAGAATCCAGGGAGCCCAGCCTCCCCCCACCCCCCACCTTCAGGTGGGGAAGTAGAGGCTGAGACAGAGGAAAAGGTTTTCTGGGGCACCAGGGTGGCTCAGGTCATGATGTCGCGGCTCGCCAGTTCAAGGCCCACGTGGGGCTCCGCACTCACAGCGTGGAGCCCACTTTGGACCCTCTGTCCACCTCCCTCTCTGCCCCTCCCCTGCTCGCTCTCTCTCTGTCAAAATAAACAGACATTTAAAAAAATAATAATAACAGTAAACAAAAAGAAAAGAGTTTCTAAAGTCGCTCAGGGAGAGACGGGGCCCGGACGGGACCCCGGGGCCGTGACGTCTGGTGCGGTGGGCCGTCCACTGTGGGTGCCGGTTCCCCGGCCATCCCCGGGGCCGTTGGGACCCCCTCTCCGGATTATCGGAGACGCTAGATGCTGTCGTGCGCGTAAAACCCTTGGTGCCTAATAAGTGCTTAGTGAAATGGTGACCCCTGCTATCCCTAGGCCCACGGCCACTAACTTGGGGTGGGCCGGGGTCTGCAGCCACGCCACCCCGAGCAGGCGGGGCTGGCCCAGCACGGCCGGCGGCAGCAAAGAGCGCAGGTGCCCACGGGCGCTCCGTCCCGCGGGCGGACGGGGGGCGGGGCTTCCTAACTCTGGCCCCCCCCCTGCCGGGCCCCCATCTTCCGCACACGTGACCAGGTACGTCATCAGCAGTCTGGAGCTGCTGGTGGCCGAGGACTACATGATCGTCTACCTGAACGGCGCCACCCCCCGGCGGAGGATGCCTGGCATCGGCTGGCTGAAGAAGTGTTACCAGATGATCGACAGGAGGTGCGTGCGTGGGCGGAAGGGCGCCGGGAGGGAGGGGTTTTCGCCCCCGCGGAGCAGGGGACCCCGGAGCCCCGCCCCCCCCGGAAGGAGGCGTGGCCGTCGGACGAACGACCTCAGACCGGACTTTTGAACGGACTTCCGTGCGGCTCCTGGCTCCTGGGGGGGGGGGGCACCGGCCGTCCTTGGCACCCCCAGCTTGGAGGCGCGCCGCCCCCGTCGTGGTCACGCGGCCTTTCCCCGTGTGTCTGCGTCCAAACGTCCCCTCTTTATAAGGACACCAGTGATTGGATTACGTCCCATCCTGCCCTGGTGTGACTTTTAGAGAATTATGTCGGCCATGACCTTATTTTCTAAACGATGTCCCCGTTCTGAGGTCCAAGAGGTTAGGACGACAACATACAAATCTGGGGGGGGGGGGGGGCACGCAGTTCAACGTGACCACAACAGGGGGTCAGAACCCGGGTGCCCCAGGACATCCTTCGGGGATGGGCCGCGCGGCCACGCAGTCAAGAGCTCAGGCCCTGAATGAAGTGACACCTGGGGCTAGAGGTCGGCGTGGCCCCCACAAACCCCGCAAAGGGGGCTCGGTCTTCTGGACCCCCCCCCCCCCCCCCGGGTCTGCCCGCCGGGAGCCCCTCCCTCCCCAGGGCCCGCTTGCTCTGCTTCCCCACGCAGGTTGCGGAAGAACCTCAAGTCGCTGATCATTGTGCACCCGTCCTGGTTCATCCGCACGGTGCTGGCGGTGTCCCGGCCTTTCATCAGGTGAGGCCACGGCCGGGGCGGGCTCGCGCGTCTTTGTCGGGAATCCGAATCTTCCAGCTTCTCTGCGTCGGAGGCGGACCTCGGCCTCAAGCTGTTTAAATCATGTGCGTTGTTAGTATTAAGGGACGGCCACAGGAAAAATATCACCAAAGCAGCTGTCCCACCCTAAGTGCCGGATACCTCGTAACGTGACAGCCACCACCGGAGAGGCTGACGCTGTCACACCCGTCGCGTGGATGAGGGATCTGGGGCTCAGAAGGGTCAAGGCACGCAGCCAGGGTCACACAGCCAGGTGCTCGCCTGCCACACTCCCCCCGCCCTGTCCGCTCCAGAACCTGTGGGGGGACCATTAGGACGCGAGGAGGGTCTGACCCACTCCCGGCAATAATGTCACCAGCCACGTGTGCCTTGGGGGGTCCTCGAGACCACCCTCGGGTTTGACGAGTCACTGGAAGGACTCCCAGAGCTCAGAAAAGCTGTCGCGGTTTCCTACAGAGGAAGGACGCGGGTTAAAGTTGGCGAAGCTCGAAGGTGCATATGGAGGTCCCAGGCGGGCAGTTGTCCCCTCCCCGGGGGTGGTAACAAAAGCCCTTAATTGTCCCTGCGAAGATGTGTGACAGCATACAGGAAGGTCCACCAACCGGGAAGCTCACCTTGCTGTCTAGGGTTTCACTGTGGTTTGGCCACATGGGGACCGAGTAGCCAGGGGGCTGACCTTAGTCTCCAACTTGAGCCGCCCCAGACGTCACGCCAATGTGACGTGCCCAAGATCTGCACCATAAACCACATCTTTTTAAGTACATACATATATATTTTTTCAATGTTTGTTTTGAGAGAGAGAGAGAGAGGTAGCATGAGTGGGGGAAGGGCAGAGAGAGAGGAGAGAGAGAATCCCAAGCAGGCTCCATGCTGTCAGCACAGAGCCGGATGTGGGGCTCGAACCCACGTACTGTGAGATCATGACCTGAGCGGAAACCAAGAGTCGGACACTTAATGGACTGAGCCACCCAGGCGCCCCGAGACAGAGAAAGAGAGAGAGAAAATCCTAAGCAGTCTCCGTGCCCAGCCTGACTCGGGGCTCGGTCTCGTGACGGTGAGATCGCCACCTGAGCCAAAATCAGGAGTCAGACGCTTAAGGGACTGAGCCACCCAGGCGCCCCCTGAATGTATATTTAATTTGACATGACTCAGAGCATTGAATCGAATCCAGGTCCTTCGGGGGAGCCTGGTGGGCTCATTCGGGAGAACACGCAGCCCTCGATCTCAGGGTCCTTGAGTTCGAGCCCCAGGTTGGCAGTACAGATTGCTTAAATACATATACTTAAAAAAAGAAAGGAAGGAAGGAAAGAAGGAAGGAGGGAGGGAAGGAAGCTCACGCTTTGTCTCACTGTTTCTCAAAAATAAATGTATAAAAAATATTTTACAAAATGTGACTCGCCCTGCATGAAAGCAGTCGGATTTGCTCATAACAGCACACATGGCCGCTTTGTGACGCCCCGTGGGGAGCGTCTGTCATGCCTAATCACTTACCGTCGGCCTTTCTGCCAAGCAGCTGCTTTATTTTTCCCATTAGGGACGCTGTGTGTCATTCATTCCTCATGTGTCTCCCTTTGCATCGGACGCCGGAAAGCCTGAGCCGAGTTTTATTATTTTTTTTTATTAAAAAAAATTTTTTTTAACGTTTATTTATTTTTGAGACAGAGAGAGACAGAGCATGAACGGGGAGGGTCAGAGAGAGAGGGAGACACAGAATCGGAAACAGGCTCCAGGCTCTGGGCCATCAGCCCAGAGCCCGACGCGGGGCTCGAACTCACGGACCGCGAGATCGTGACCTGAGCCGAAGTCGGACGCTCAACCGACGGAGCCACCCAGGCGCCCCATGAGCCGAGTTTTAATCTGACCTCTCGACGTAGATACGAAACGTCTCAACACGCTTTTGTAGACCCCTGACTCCGTCTTACCTTTTCCTTTTTTTTTTTTTTTTTTTTTTACCATTAACTCGATTATTTTATCGTTTGCTGTTGTGCCGTATCCTCTCGGCCTTCTGTTTGTCATTTAGAAAAATGACTCGACTTTCAAAAAAGCTTTTAAAAACTTGTTCCGATGCTGCTTTATTTTTGAAGAGACAGAGTGCGAGCGGGGGAGGGGCAGAGAGAGAGGGAGCCAGGGCCTCGGAAGCAGGCTCCGGGCTGTGGGCGCAGAGCCCGACGCGGGGCCCGGTCTCCCCGACTGTGGGATCGCGACCTGAGCCGAAGTCGTCCGCTCAACCGACCGAGCCGCCCGCCCAGGGGGCCCTCGAAAAAAACTTATTTTATACTTCAGCAAAATTAGGTTTAAGTTAGATTTTTAAAAATAACAGTAACCGCGAGTTCAAAGCCACACGCTGGTGACAGAGCCCCGCGTGGCAGCAGACAGCCTGGCTCCGGGTGCGGACCGAGAGAGGCTGCTCTTTCTGAAAGGACGGGCTGTGAGTCTCTGTGCCCTGGCGTGCCCCGGGCCTGGACTTCACGCATGTCCCTCCTTGTCCCACCAGCGTCAAATTCATCAACAAGATCCAGTACGTGCACAGCTTGGAAGATCTGGAACAGCTCATCCCCATGGAACACGTGCAGATCCCCGAGTGCGTGCTACAGTGAGTGTCCCCGTGCCGTGGGGGCGCCCCCTCCCCCGGCCCCAGCGCGCCCAGGCTCCGCGCCTCCCCTCTCGGGGGCCGAGAACCGGACGCCGGACGTGAGTGGGAGCAGCAGACCCGGGGAGACACGGTGAAACAAGCCCACGTGAGATCGGAGAACACGTGGGCCCCCCGGGCATCTCCACGCAGGGCGGGGCCGGCCAGCCGTGGCCCACAGCTTGTTGTATAAATAAAGTTTTATTGGCACACGGCCCCGCCCATCCATGGCTGCCTTCGAGCCGCATCGGAATTGAGCAGCTGTGGCGGAAACCGGCCTACGAAGTCGAAAAAAAATATTTATGCCCGGCGGGGGGGGGGGGGGGGCGGGTAGACCGACCCACGTCCGCGAGGGGTTGCTTTACAATGACCCCGTTCAATTGCTGGTGCCGGATCAGGCACAGAAAACTAATCGGCTGAGCCGTGTCTATACCAGATGCTGGACAAGGCCAGCGGAGTCACTGCCAGAAACGTGAAAAAGACCGTCGGCCCGTCAGTCCCGGCTGCCTTTCTGCGCCCAAGGCTGGCGCGAACTCGGACGTGACAAGGAGATTGTGTCTCCGTTCCCAGAAGGGAAGGGGTCCCCAGGCAGCGCACCTGTGGGGGAGGCGGGCGTCTGAGGAGTTGTACTTTCTGTCTTCCAGGTACGAAGAGGAAAGGCTCAAGGCCAGGAGAGAGAGGTGTGTACAGAGTGCCTCGGGGCGGGGGCTGGGCCGGGCCTACCTTGGGGGGGGGGGGTGGGTAACAGGTGGCTTTGGCCCAGCAGGGGCCGATGACGCCCTCGCGTTTGTTGAGGGCTTTGAGTCAGACCGCGGTTCGAATCTGCTCCGTCACGGAGGGACGGTAGGCGAGCAAAGAGTTCACAGCCACCGTGGGGGTTACTCTGAAGAATGAGGACAAGGGGACCCCCCGGGCGAAAAGTGGCTCATAGTAATCGCGGTAAAATCAAGTCATCCGCTGACAGAGGGGGCACAGGTTCCGTTCTCGGCCCCGACAGCCCCAGAAATGCCCCTTCAATAACCTACTGGTTCGGTTTTTGTTGGTCCCAGAAATGCCCCTTCAATAACCTACTGGTTCGGTTTTCGTTGGTCGCGTCACCAGGGGTGGCGGTCACGGGACCTCAGGGCGATCGCGGCCCCACCCAGTTATGAGGCCCTCATGCCGTCCCCCGGATACGTTCATATTCCGCCCCCACCCCCCGGAGCTGGGCAGGGCCAGGATTCCCGACAGCATCTTGCAGCCCAGGAATCCGAGGCTCAGAGAGGCACGGGCGCCTGCCCCAGGCCACACAGCAAGCCTGGGGGAGGGTTGGGGCTTCGGGGGGTCGAGAGCGTCTATCACTGCCAGGCCCCGTGCCAGCCTCCGGGGAGACAGGTGAAAAAGAGTCCTGTTCCGGGGGGCTCCAAATGGCAGAGGAGAGGGGCGCGTCACCGAGTGAGGAAAGCGGGTCCCGGGCAGGGCGGGTGATGTGGGCAGGTGAGCCACATAGTGAGCAGCGCCATGGAGGCTCCGGGCGGCGTCATGTAGTGATGATGGGCCACGGGCGCCAGGGAGGGAGGCCGAGGGCAGGCAGGACGCCCCGTCCCGTGCATGGCCCCCGCGTCCATCCGCGTGGTGGCAGGTGGCAGGGGTCCTTCCTTCCCGAGGCGAGTAATATTCCCACGCGTGGACGGACCACGTTGTGTTTGTCCCTCATCCACGGAGGGACGTGGGTTTGCTGAGGCTGCTGGGAGTCGTGCCGCTGCGGACACGGGCCGCGAACACCCAGCTGAGTCCCCGCGTTCCCGAAGTGGGGTTCCGGGAGCACGTGGCGATGCTGCCTTGAACGTTTTGCGGAACCGCCACGCTGTCCCCGGGGCACGTGGGCCCCCCCCCCCCCCCGCAGGACAAGGGCTGCCCCTCCCCCTCCCATGTCCTCATCACTTGTAGTTCTGGTATTTTTGAGAGAAAGGGAGGGAGGGAGGGAGGGAGAGAGGGGGAGGGAGCGCTCCTGCGGGCGTGTGTGCTCCGGAGTGGGGGAGGGGCGGGGGGGGCCAGAGGATCCCAAGCGGGCTCTGTGCCCACAGACTGACGGCAGAGAGCCCGACGCGGGGCTCACACTCATGAACCGTGAGATCATGACCGGAGCCCAAGTCTGACAGTTGACCGAGCCGCCCGGGCGCCCCGACTCGTAGTTTTGTTTTCGAGACAGCAGCCGCTGCTGGGTGGGAAGTAGAGATGTCTGTCTGTCTGTCTGTCTGCACTTTTCCCCTTCCTTTCTTCCCCTACCCTTCTCCATCTTTCGCTCGCTCTCTGTCTCTCCCTGTCTCTCCCTGTCTTTCTCTCTCTCTGCCTCGGCCTCTCTTTGGCCTCCCAGTCTTAGCTGGGGAGGCACGGAGACCAGCACCGCAAGCCGGGATCAGGGCACAGGGGATCTGTGTCCCCTGTGTCCAAGGGGCGAGGACCGGTGCCTCCGGGCTGGCAGCTGAGAGGAACGTTCGGGGTCTTTCCTCCTCCCCGTCCTGTCCCCGCTCGTGCCCCCTTCCCCATGGTCGTCTCCGCCGTCATTAACCCCTGGGTTGATCTCTGTGCCCTCGGGGCCCATCCTGGGGCAGCGAGACTCCCCCACGCCACCCTCCGAGGCCACAGCGGGCAGGTTCGTCACCCACGTCCTCTCTCTCCGTCCCCAGCGCCAGGCTGCAGCCGGAGTTCGTCCTGCCCAGGTCTGAGGACAAGCCGGAGGCGGTGCTGGCGGAGGACAGGTAACTGTGCAGGTGGCCACGGCGAGGGCGGCCGAGCCCGCACGTCCGGTAAGAGTGACCGCAACGCTCTCGTGACGAGGACAGCAGAGAGCGATGCCGGCCCCATCCTGAATGCTCAGTCCCGGGGTCCCTCTTCCCTCCACCCCGGGCCGTCCCCACGGGACACCTGCAGAGGCCGGAATTATATTTAAACCAACAGTCGGGCGCCTGGCGGTCGGTTGAGTGTGGAACCCTTGATCTCAGGGGTGTGAGTTCGAGCCCCACCACGGGAGCAAAGATTACTTAAAAAAAATAAAAGCTTTACAGATAAATAAACAAATTAGCCAACTGTCCATAAAATGTGAAAGTCCGCTCCTCTCTGGGGCTGGGCTGCCCGTGCCTGGCCTCGGGGGCTCAGCACATGCCCGCCCACCGCCGGGCAAGCCCCCTGGATGGCCAGCCCCAGCCCCGTCTCTTCCCCAGGGGCTTCTTCACCCTCTTTTTCTTTTAAGGTCATTTATTTATCTGGTGGGGGGGAGGGGCAGAGAGAGAATCCCAAGCCGGCTCCGTGCTGTCAGCGCAGAGCCTGACGTGGGGCTCGATCCTACCAGCCGTGAGATCATGACCCTGAGCCGAGATCAAACGTCAGACACTTAACCGCCTGAGCCCCCCGGGCGCCCCCCGCGACGGACAGTTTTAAAGTGCACGTTCCAGTGGCCTTTCGGACCCTGGCAGAGCTGTCCGTGCAGCACCCCTCTCTAGTTCCAGAACTCTCTAGTTCCAGAACATTCCATCACCCCGAACGGACCCCACATCCGATAAGCAGTTCCTCCCGTCACGCCCCCCGCTTTACTTTTCTGACGCCCAGCAGATACGGCCCCAAGCCCCGTGGCGCCTTGCCCCCGATGGGTAGAAAACGCAGTGGGCTCTGCCCCCGCCCCTGCCCCCCTCCCCTGTGCCCAGCCAGCCTGCCTCCTGCATTTGACCCTCGCGTAGCCTCTGTCTCCTGCCCTTGTGCCACGTGGGGGCAGCGGCTGCGTCTGGGGCCATCCACCCCCCCCCCCCCAGCCCCCAGCGTCCAGGACTCAGGGACCGCGGGTAGCTGATGCGGCCGCGAGAGGGGTTCTGCTCTCCGGTGGAGGTTCTGGCTGGTGACCTTTCTGCACGTCCCCGTGGGCGGCCCCCACTCGCTTGGTACCAGCTCAAGGCGAGGCCGAGCCGGCCGCACGAGGCTCGCGGCCAGATGCCAGGGCTCCCCCCAAATAGGCAAATAACGCGAAGGCTTCTCTCTTCACAGGCCTGCTCCGGCCACAGATCAGGAAACGAGGTGGGTGGGGAGCAGGGCCGTCCCGGTGCCTGTGCCTCAGTGTCCCGAGCGGAGCCCAGCCGCGTGGGGACCGTTCGCCCCACGATTTACTGTTTGGGGGTCGAGGGCTACCGTCCTGGGGAGTCAAAGAGGCTTGGCTTGCCCGTCCCTGCGCAACTCCGGGGGCGCCACCGGCGTGATGCCCCAGAGCTAAGCCACGCGGCAGGCTTGACCGGAGCCAGGCCCCCAAAGCCCGGGCTTTGTAACGCAGCCACGGGCGCGGCGTTTGCCCGCGGCCTGTCTCAGGGTCCCCGCCTGCTCCAGATGCCGCTCTGTGTGCTGGGGGTCATGGAGACCCCCCCTCAGGTTCAGGGGTTTGCTAGAAGTGCCCACAGAATTCAGCATAGCTGTCTCGCTTACAGTTATGGTTGAATAAGGTGGAGGGATGAGTACGGGTGAGAACGGGCATAAGGAATGTGATGTCCGGGCCCGGAGAGGCCGGAGGTGAGCCTCCCGGTGTGGTCTCCCGGGGGCTTTATCCAGGCAGCCCTTAGCTCGCCCGGCAGTGTCCCCAACCAGGGACGCTACGCCCACATCCAGGGTATTTCCCGGGGGCGGTCCCTTACGCTTGGCTAACCGCTCCCGTGGCTGAGCTCGGTCTCCGCCGTCCCGAGGTCCCGCCGATACCCCCACCCTACATCCCGCTGTTAGCACATGACCCACGGTCCCCAGGGAAACAAAGACACTCTTACCAGACGGGGCACTCCGAGCGCTGGGGCTCCGGTAAGCACCCGACTTCGACTCAGGTCATGATCTCGAGGTCTGCGAGTTCGAGCCCCACACCCGGCTCTGTGCTGACGGCTCGGAGCCTGGAGCCTGCTTCACATTCTGTGTCTCCCTCTCTCTCCCTGCCCCTCCCCAGCTCACGCTGTATCTCTCTCTCTCTCCCTCTCTCCAAAATAAATAAACATTAAAAAAAAATTCTTAGTCTAAACGGTCTTAGGCCAGTACTGCCCCGGGCACACCGAGTGGAGGCAAGTTCTCGGTGCCTTTCTGACGAGATCGTCTCAATCCGTGTCTTCTGGGGGTGAGTTTCACCCACAGACACAGAACGCACAAGGAAGTCCCGCACCACGAGCGAAAGCCAGCAGATTCGAGAAAAAGCAGAGTTAGCCCCTCCCCTGAATCCTCAGGTAGGGGTGATGAATTAGAAATGTTTAAAATTATTAAAGACCCCAAAGAAGAAATTGTAGGAAGCTACCGGGTGGACGCGCGGACAGATAGGTGGGTGAATAGGTGGGCGGAGGGAGGGACAGGAGGATGGATGGCTGGGTTGAAGCTTCCCTCTGGTCCGACCGGTGACGTCGGCCCGGGGCCCATTCTCCTGAGGCACCGATTGAGGGGTCCCCTTTGGAAGCACACCTGGAAGGTGGGTGGCAGGCGGCAGACCTTGATGGGCTGGTCCCGCTCTTGCTGCCGAGGGCCCCCCAAAGCCGGGTCGGATCGTGCCGTCCACACATGCACGCGTTCCCCGCATTCTTTCTGTATTTTTTAAGGATAATCGCGTATTTTATTTTTATTCATGTATTTGTTTTAACGCTTATTTGTTTTTGAGAGACAGAGCACAAGTGAGGGAAGGGCAGGGAGAGAGAGAGGGGGAGACACAGAATCGGAAGCAGGCTCCAGGCTCCGAGCCGTCAGCACAGAGCCCGACGCGGGGCTCGAACCCACGGACCGCGGGATCGTGACCTGAGCCGGAGTCGGTTGCTTAACCAACTGAGCCACCCAGGCGCCGCCCCCCACGCCCCCACTGCTGCCCGAGTTCTTTAAAAACAGTAACAACAGCCTGGCCTGTGTTTATCCCTGTCCAGCATGTCCTGAGGTGACAAGACTACAGAGAAGGACAAGACAGAAGATTCCAGATGGCAAGAAACCTCTGTCAGACGCCCTCTGGTCCTGGACCTCCTCCCCGCCTTGTCCTGACGCCCCTGTCTTTGGAGGGGCCCAGTCCCCGCCATCCATCTCTGAAACCCAGCATCCTTTTGAGCTGCTTGAAAACGTTTTTGTTTCGTTTTGTTTTCAAACAACGCGGTATGTTCCAGAAAAGGACCTGGTTCTCAGCCCTCCACACTCACGAGCTCGCGGCCGAGAAGAGGAAGACTGCCCAGGGCGTGGCCCGTGTGCCCTCGACGGCTTCAGAGACCCCCTCCTCGCCCTCACCACCACCATCACTGCATAAAGTCTTGGCTCAAGACCCTTCTCTGGTTTGTCACCTGGCCCACCCCGGAGCCACGGATGCCCGCCAGCTCCTTGGCCGGATCTGGACTCGTTCTTGTGCCTTTTCTCCTAGAACACCCCCTGCGGCCCTGGGCACGTGGCCCGGAAGCTCAGCACCCCCAGCAGCGCTGTGCCCCGGGGACCTCCCGTCCCGGCACCTCATGGCTTTACATTTGACCAGCTCCCCTCGCCTTCATCTCCCAACCTTCTTTGGGATTAATGGAGTCCACAATGGCACACGCGAGCTGCTGAGAATCACCCCCGCCCCGCAGTTGCAAACCCGCCCCCCCTTCTAGAACATTCTCAAGCCCCTTTAACGGACGCCACACCACAGGGCAATCCTGATCAATACCTCCTACTGAGGGAATGAAGTGTCCCCGCTTTCCTGACCCCCCCCCCTCCAACACAGGGTTGGGATGAGCCCCTCAGGTTCCCGCCATGGGAAACCGGCTCTGAACCGTGATACAGGAAGATACAGGTTTATTGCAGGTTTTGAGTGTTTCGAAGTTCACTTGGGAAAATAAATCCCAGTGGCCTGGATGCTTATGGAGACCTGCGGTCAAAGGAGGTAAATTTGCCTTGGACAGAAGTCAGACTTTTCTAACGTGGTCCGCATGCCCGTCAGGGTGGCCTTTAGAGGTAGTGAGTTCCCCGTCCGTGGAGGCATTTACGAAAAGGCTGGAAAGTGCTTACAGAATGTGGTCCTCTGCGGTCCTCTCCGATCCTCAGAGTTTCTATTTCTATGAATCTGAGCAAAAGTTGAGCAGGTATCTTCTCCAGGCCCCTCTTCCCGGCCCCCGTTGCTGGCTTCTTAACGGTCTAGTTCAAGTGCCCTGGGTATGAGGTTCTCGGCCTCAGGGGAGATGCCGGAGGCTTCTCGACCTGGGCGCATCGAGGTGTTTTGGGTTATTCTGATGCCGGGAGGGAGCTGGTGGTGTTTGGTGCTGACGGAAGGGAACACCTGACATTTTGCCCCGTGGGGGAGGCTCCTGAATGTCACGGAGCCATCCCGCGTCCGACGCCAGAGGCTCCGCCTCGAAAAACGCGCAGTCTGGGAGCCGAGTTGGGCCCCGCATCTTCTGAGTCGGCGCAGCTCTGCCCCAGGAAGGCTGGGACGCCGGGGGGGGGGGGGGGTCTTATGTTTGTGTTTCTGATGTGTTTCCCAAATGTCAAATAAAGGACGGGACCGTGTTCCGGGCCCAGGCGTGTCACCCAGAGCCTGAGGCGGCCGAGGCCAGCGGATGGGCCTCTCCAAGCTGCCCTCCAGCAGACCCCCACAGCCCCCTGTTCCGCCTGTCGCCTGCCCCTGCCCGGAGCGCCTCCTTTTAGGAGGGTGCCCCAGGCGTCCCCGGGGCCGCCCCAAACTCCAGGCCCGGGAGGCAGGCCCTGTTGGCGGGGTCCACGCGGGGCCTCCACGAACACAGTAACCAGTAACCGGGGGAGGAGGCCGGAACCGGCTGCACGCTGAGCGCTGGGAACTGAGGCCGTCCGCCCGGTGCGACAGTGTGTGCCTGCGGAGGCGACAGAGGGACGGACCGAGGCGGGCCCCAGCCCACTGTGATGGGGCCTGCAGCCACGCAAGAAACCCCAACAGGGACCAGCTGGTTCCCCGCGGCCCGCCCGCCGCCCCTCCAGACCACCAGCAGCCACGGACAACGGGCAAGCGGGGCGAGGGACCCCAGCTCGGCCGCCACGGCGGCCCCTCCAGGGTAGAGAGAGGCCCCGGGAGGCCGTCCCCAGGCGGGAGAAGCCCCACGGCACGGCTCCCTCCACACGTGTCCACGCGGGCGGCCGCCCGCGGCTCCCAGCGGCTTCGCGAAAGATGCGTCTCGGGGGCAGTTCCGGCCAAGATGCGGTGGACCGCGAGCCCCCGTCGCGAAGGGACGCCGGGTTTCCCTCCTGTGACACGTGGGTCGTGTCCTCGGTCGTGGCTCACACGCTCATCCTAAGGACGGCCAGTGTTGTGGTTTTTACACCCAAAGTCGTCGTGATTCCCGTCGTGATGTTCAGACATGGTTTCCACGGGCTTTGGGGGATTTGTGTGGAAATAAAGAGGCAGCAGCTGAGAAGGGACGGGGGTCACTGGTGTCCACTTCCCCGAGGTGTGACGCTGGCCTGGGTCCGGGCGCAGAGGGGCGACCTGGGGCAGCCGTGGCCCTGCCGCTCTTGCTTCCGGGGGGCCCCCGGGGCCGTCCCCAGGGCCCCTTCCGGATCTGCCTCTCTGTGACTCAAGTTCCCTTCCCGACCCCAGTCCGCTCTGGAACCAAGCAGGGTTAGCAGGTGACAATGGTAATAGTTTAATTACTGTATGTATATAGACCATTATTGCTACTTCTGGAACAGAAGACTATTTCCTCTCTACGCTCACACCGTTCCCGACACCGGACTGGGGAAGGGTCCCCACGCTCTCCAGCTCCCGGGGATCCCCCCCCCCCACGTCCTGTGACCCGACACCGGGCAGTTCGGGAGGACCCCGCGGGTGAAGGGCTCACCCCCACCTCGGGCGCCAGTCGTGAGGGCTGGGCCCCCAGGTCACCCCCACGATGTCCCACTTGGCCAAAAGCCAGGGGCTCCCACGACCTTCCCCCAGCAGCTCAGGGAAGAGGTTTCCTTGCATCTCACCTGCTGATGACAAAGGGGCTAACTCGGGAACAGCCCGAAGAGGGGCGCGGGCCAGGGCCCCGGTCGTCCCCGAGCCGCCGGCTGAAGCTGCCATCTGTCCCGCCCACCACCCCGTGGCTCTCGGGACTTTCCGGAAGTCACCCCGTTGGCATAAGCGCAGGGCTCGTCACAAACAGCAAAGGGCACCGCTTTCCTTCGTCGCTCCGGACCTAGCAGGGAGAAAAAGACTATTGTCCCCGCCGAGGGTTTAGGAGCGGTGTGTCAGGGAGGCGGGGACCAGGTGCTTCTCTCTGGTCACACATCACATAGCCCAGAAGAGGAGCCTCGGGTGCCAGGAGCAGGACGGGCGTGCACACAGGTCGCTGGAGTCAGGAAGGCGCCCGTCCCGGCCGCGGCGGTGGCTTCACCGGGCGGGTGGCACGGGGGTCACAGGTGCCACTCCCATCGGGGGGTGATGGGGCCACACGTTTTGTCCCAACCCAACCGGGTCTCTGATTACCCTGAGGGCTTTCTTGAAACCTCATTCGTTCATTCATTCATGCATTCATTCATGCATTCATTCATTCATATGTACACTCATTCATTCACTCGTTTCGTTCACTTATTCGTTTGTTCACTCATTCATTCACTCACTCATTCATTTCTTCATTCACCTGCTGGCACCCGGCCTAGTGGAGAAGCTTGACCCCTGGGGACCAGGAGGAGAGGCTGGGCCCTGTCCCGGAAGGAAGGATCCTCTCTGGTCTGAGACCCAACAGAGAAGCAGCAGTTAGCAGGCCAGCGGGCAGGTCGCGGGTGTCCCCGGTGGAGGGCCCAGCCCAGGCGAGGGCCCCAGGGGCCGGCTCAGCAGGTGTGAGGGTTCCAGTGGGACCCAGTGCTCAGTGAGGACCTGACCTCTCTCTTTGCTAAATTTACCATCGGTGGCATTTAGTACACTCGCGATGTTGTGCAACTGTCAGTGCTATCTAGTTCCAGAACATTCCATCTCCAGCAGAGGGAAACCCTATCCCCGTGAGCAGTCGCCCCCAAGCCCTGGCACCCACTGACCTACTTTCTGTCTCCGGACCTTTCACACAGAGGAAATCAAACACTTCGCGACCTGTGGGCCGTTTGGGGACAGACGTGTCACACAGGTGGGCCGACACCAGGAGGCCTCCCACGGGCGCCCTGCCCGGGCCTCTGTCTGGGCACGGCACTGTCACCCGTGGTCTGGGCTCCGTGCCCCACAAGGAGGCTCCCCGGAAATTCTTGCCACCCAAACTGGGTCACAGGCCACACCCCGAAGCCGGCTTCCCACACCTGCCAGCCGGCCAGGCGCCTGGCGGGGCTCAGGGGTCAGGGGTCCAGCCACGCTGTCAGTCAAGGAAACCGAGGCCCAGAATGGGCTGGAGGTGGGAAGAGGAAGTGAGGGCCACGCCCCCCACGACCTTTGCACCAGGTCAGTCCTGGATGGGGCCACGCAGGGAGTCCTTCACCGGCTACGACAGGATAATGGTGCTCCCCGTCTCCCTCCCTCGGCTGTCACCGCGGGGTTCCTGCCGGCAGAATCGGGGGAGGGAGGTCGCGGAAGCCTCGGGGACGCACAGGGCAGGCCGCGGGAGTGAGGGTGTCGGGACAGGGCAAGGGCAGGTCCCGCTCCGGGTCTCCCCCAAGCTGCGGCTGGCCACACGCGGGGGGGTGGGGGGGTGGGTGTCAAGAGAGCCAGAGCCGGACGGTCGTCAGAGCGCGAACAGGAGACTGAACTCAGGCCCCACCGCAGCGGGCAAGCGCTCGGTGTTGCATCCGGGGACACGCGGCGCTCCGTAGCCAGAGAGAGGTGGCCTGGTGGCCAGAGAGTCGCTGAGGGGAGACACAAGGGTTGGGGGGGGGAGTCTGGCTAAACGGACTTGGCAGGATTCTCGCCAGCACCAGGTTCCTAGGTCGAGCGCAAGGAGGAGGCCCCGTTGAAAAGGAGCTCAGCGGAGCCAGGCTAGTTTGGTCAAGGAGTCAGCCTCCGCCGGGGCAGTGGGGAGGTGACAGGAAGAGGGTAGGACTTGTGACCACGTGTGGGGACCCCGGATAATCCAGGGGAGGCTCCCAGCCACAGTTTGCGGGGACGAGGACATAGTGCCCCCCTTGGGGGCCCTCATCAGGCTTCCACCGGCCGCTTCCTGAGCCGGGAAAGGACAGGATTCTGGGGTCGGGGAGCAGGGGTGGGAAGGCCCCAAGCATAGGGAGAGAGGCTCTCTTTGGGTTTGAGCCCCCAGCTCCAGAAGGTTTCATGAAGGGAGGTGGGGAGAGGGAGGGGGAGGGTGGCCTGCCCCTACCCCTCATTTACCTGCTCCCCTGCGGTCAGAGCTGGTGCCACAGGGTCTTTGCACATCCTGTTTTCACTTCCCTGAACCCCTTTGTCTTATCCAAGCCTCCTCCCTCTGGCCTGCTTTGCCTAAATCACTGTGTATCCACTTGGACGGCCCCTCCTCCAGGAAGTCTTTCTGGTTCCTCCACCCCCTCCCTCTACACAGGGAGGGCCAGGTACATCTTATTCTCCGCTGTGTCCCCAGTACCCCACAAGGCAGGGCCCACAGAAGGCAGGGGCCCCCTAAACGGTAGGGGAAGGAACGAATGAAAGAGGAAGGCAGGAAATCAGTGATTCAAGCCACTTGGGACAAATGGGGAAACTGAGGCCATGGGTGAGAGGGAGCTGTTACAACCCGAAGATAAAGCCCCTGGCCCTGGTCTCCAGAGGCCTCCCACCCCTGCTCCCCAACCCCGGAGAAGGGTGGCGAGGCCCTGAGAGGCAAGGGTCGGGGGGGGGGCTCACCCAGCTGGCGAGTGGCAGAAGCAGAACTCGAAGCCAGGATTCTTAACCGGTGGTTCCTTACGTGTGTCGGGGACTCTCTGGTGTGTGGGGGCCGGGCCCGCCCTGGGACCCTTTTGGGAAGTCCTCAGGGTCAAAATCACGCACGGGCAGAAGATCCATTCGGAGCGCAAAGCCGGACAGAAGGATTTCACTGGAACAGAAGACAAGCGAGAACAACTCGCCTCCAGGGTGCCAGAGGCTGGGGAGGGATCGTGACGGCTAGTGGAGACAGGGCTTCTTTGTGGGGGTGATGGAATGTTCTGGAATTAGAGGTGGTGGTTGCAGAACACCGGGGATGCACCATATGCCAGTGAATCATTCACTTAAAAATGGCTAACTTTGGGGACACCTGGGTGGCTTGCTCGCGGAGGCATCCGACTTTGGCCTCGGGTCTGATCTCACGGTTCGCGGGTTCAAGCCCCCATCGGGGTCCGCACGGACAGCGCGGAGCCTGCTTGGGGTTCTCTCTTCCTCCTCTTTCTGCCCCTCCCCGACTTGCAAGTCTCTATCGAGGTAAATAAAGAAAAACGTTAAAAAAAATCTGTGGGAAGCACAGACCGTGTGGAATTCAAACTTCAGGGTCTGTGAGTGAAATCCTTTTATTTTTTTTAATGTTTATTTTTGAGAGAGAAAGAGAGGGACAGAGCGTGAGCAGGGGAGGGGCAGAGAGAGAGGGAGACACGGAATCCGAAGCAGGCTCCAGGCTCCGAGCTGTCGGCACAGAGCCCAACACGACGCTGTTGGTCTGTGTCTCACTTTTCAAGCTGCTGCGCGGGGCCGGACGGAGAGGTTTGGGGACTGACTTTTCTTTTTCTCTCACAAGGGGGCGCTAAAGGCCTCCGGGGCCGAAGGAGCATCTCGGGGCTGGCGGGGCGGCTCCATAGGCCCCCCCCCCCGCCCCGTTATTAACAGCAGCGCCCCATGTGCGCGGGAGCCGTGGGCTTGGCCGGCCCTGCCCTCCTCCCTGCACCTGCTCACGACCCTGGGCGGGGACACAGGGCACGTCGCCTGCCCCCCACCTGCAGGAAAGACGGCACCCCAGGGACCCAGCATGGCGACCCCCCCCCCAGTCTAAGAGGATTCATGCTCAGGGGCGCCTGCTTGCTGCCCCCAACACGCCTTTCCTTCATCCTTCACTGCCGGCGAGGGACACGGATGAGGCCACCGTCCCTGAGGGAGGACACGACTGGCAACACGGGGAGGTAGTGTGTTGGCCAAGAGCCGGGAGCCCGACGGGGCGGCCTTCGAAGCCGTCTGCCTCCCCTTGCAGACAGCAAGTGGCTCCGCTGTGGCCCCGCGTGGCCCCTGTGGCACCTGCCCACCATCTTCCACGGAGGGGCCCCCACGACAGATCTCGACGGAAGCAGCAGGATCGTCCACACCTCAGGACAGCGCCGCCCGAGGTGGTGGCCCCGGCCTGCTCGGCCCCCCCGGAGCCCCTCCCCTGCCTCAACCCGGGTGCCCGCCCCTCTTGACCCTCTTCCCCGCCGCCCACTGGCCCGGCCAAGCGGCCTCTCGCCCACCTGCTGCCGTCGGCCGCGCCTGGTCCTGAAGGTGGGAACGGACGGGCCAGATTCTGCTGGGGGAGCGAGACAGGGCCTCCGTCGAGGGCCAGGCCGCGGACGAAATCTCAACCTGGGCACGTCCCCGTCCGAGGGGGCCGCAGGCTGGAAATGGCCGGGCACAAGGCGACTCGAGACACCAGCTCCAGGCCCACGTTCCAGGGTTTCGGAACCGCTTCTCTTTCCGGGGAACACACTTCAACCCACGGGAGCCACCCTGGGTGCAACCCCCCCCCCCCCCCCGTTACCCCTCTGCCACCCACCGGGCCCCGGGGTCCCTCTGCTGCCGACCGGGCTCCAACCAGAACGTTCCGCTCTCCCCTCCCACCGTGCCCCTGACACCATGCGTGGAGCCCCCTCATTCAGCGGGCGTAACGCTCTGCCCGAGGTCCGGGCTCAGCCCCACGGGCCTTCCGCTTGTCCCGAATCCAAGCCTCCTGTCTTCCCGACCAACCGGTTTTCAAACTGGGGCCCGCACCACCCCTGCTCGGGATCAGTAATTTGCTAGCACAGCTCACAGGGCAGCAGCCTACTTACTAGATGACCCGTTTATTTTTTAATGCTTATTTATTTTTGAGAGACAGAGCATGAGCAGGGAAGAGGCTGAGGGAGAGGGAGACACAGAATCCGAAGCAGTCGGCACAGAGCCCGACGCGGGGCTCGAACCCACAAACCGCGAGATCATGACCTGAGCCCAACGCTAAGATCACTTAACCGCCTGCGCCCCCCCAGGCGCCCCGAGACAAACACCAGTTTCAAACCCTTCCTCCGGCGAACTTCACACACCGCAGCCAAGATCTGAGCCAACCGACGGGTGGGAGGAAGGCAACCCGTGGTTCCCATAGTCTGTCCCCCCCCAATCAAGAAACAAGCACGACGACACCCCTACTTTGCACAAGGAAAAACCAGACGGCATCTCCAGTAACGGGGTGTCTCCAGTCTCTGTGGGTCAGGGGTCCCGACGTGGCCCGCCCGGGTCCGAGGCTCAGCGTCACCCCGGAGGCCGCGATCCAGGTGCCAGCCAGGCCTGGGTTCTACCCGACGGCTCCACTGGGGAGGGGTCCGCTCCTAGGGCCACTCACGGGGCTGGTGGGCCTTCTTCCTTGCTGGCTGCCCCTTGCCATCTGGGCCTGTGACATGGCAGCTCGCTCGTGAAAGCCAGCAAGGGACAGTCCTCCAGCAAAACGGAAGCCACAGTCTTATGTGGCCTGATGGGGGGACGGACCTCGTCACCTCCGCTGTATTCTGGTGGTCAGAAACCCCTACTGGGCCAGCCCGCCCTCGAGGAGCGATAGCAGGGGCAGAGATCAGAGCCTGCGGGCCAAGGTCAGAGTCAATAACTACGTTAGCCCCAGGCTCCGCAAAGTACGCCCTGGCTAGGTGTGGTGTGGCCCCAGAGGGGCTCCCCGTGGACACCCCTCCCCAGGTAGGAGGGGGTGGGGCCGAGTGTTTGCAAAGCAAGGACACCTGCCCGTTATCCCGAGGAGACGCTGGGAATCTAGGCCCGCAGCCGGGCGGACCCTGGACAAAGCGGATGTCGGTTTGCACCCGGTCTCACTACTCCCTCCTCTCCCACGTCAGGACAGACGTCGTCTCAACCCTCCGCAGCCATCGCCCAGCGCCCGCCACAGTGCCCGGAATGGGCGAGACCTGCTCGGCACTGGCTGGACGGGTGCCGTCCAGCGGTCCCTGGGCCCCCGGGGGGGTCTGGAGGCCATCTGGTGCCATGTGGCAGACGGGTGCGGCCTGCCGACCTTACACACGTTACGCACACCAGGGCGCCCCCCCCACGACCGGCTCTGTGCCACGTGACCCACGGGGCCGTGCCGCTCAGTCATCACCTTGAACCCCAAAGGGCCAGACCAGGTCCTGGGCTGGACGAGCCGGCCGTAAAGGACAGTCAGGGACGAACGGGGGAGACCCGACTGAGCTCAGCAGTCAGTGAGCTGAAATCTACTGAAATGCTAAAACTTGAGCTTGTTCCCCCAAAAGAGATTAAAAAGGAGCGATGGTAAGTCGGATCTCAATGTTTTCCTTTTAGTTAAAGTAAAAACAGAACACGAGTGAGGAGAGATGCGCCCCTGGGTGTAGGGCACGAGGTAATGAAAGGATAGGGCACCACTGACCCCAGAGCTCCAGCTCCCGGGAAGAAAAGTAAAAAGCATTCCCTTTTCGGAACCACGTGCCAGACCCAGAGGCAGCAGCAGGGGGAACGAGGACCCCCCCCCCCATCCCTTCCCAGCGGACGGGGTGGACGGGGTGGCCTCTGTGCCGGCGTCCTCACGCTGGGGCACTGGGGCCCGGCGGCATCTGAGGCGGCACAGAGGGACAGAAGGCCCCTCTGACTTCGTTCCAGCTGTCTGGAAGCTTCCATCGCAAGTGCGACCTGCCAAACCCCAAGATCAGGGCAGCCTCCGAGGCCCCCCAGGTCTGCCCTCATCTTCCCAAAGAGCATGGGGGCAGCAGTGGAGGGGAAGAGACACGAGAGCCAGGCGCGGCCGTGGCACTGGGTGGCCACAAGACTGGCCGCCCCGGCCGGGGCCTGAGCACAGAAAACAGCCACGTGTCGGGGAAGCGGGGCTTTATTTCCTTTAGGCACATGCACGTGTGATACACAGAGCTCGCGGACGGGTACACGGCGGGCCCCACCCCGGCGCTGGGGACGGGTCTGGGCACACGGGAGGACACCTCAGGGGGCTCCTCCCGCCCCCGGGCCAGGCTGGCCTCTGTCCGGAGAACTCCTCTCGGGCTACGGAGGAGCCACACAGATGTCACTCGCTTAACCCAAACCGCGGCACAAGTGCAGAGCACGCGGCCAGAGAGCCTCGTTTTGGTGAATCCGGGACCTTGGGGCACGTTCCCTGGGGCGCAGGGCCCTGCTCGAGGGCGGCACCTAGTGGCGGGTGCGGGCACTGCCCCTGCAGCCCCTCCTCCACCTTCTCTGGCCCAGCGGGGAGGGTTCGGCCGGCCGCAAGCAGCCTCAGGGGCTCGCGGGGCACTCGGGGGACACTGGGCCTTCGCAGAGCACTCTGGGGGCGACTACCCCACAATTCGGAAGGCAGCACTGGGACGGGAGGCAGGGGCGTGGCCGGGCCGTGTGGGTCATCGCGTGCGCTTTGTGACAGGCACGGCAGAGAGGAGTGAGGGGCAGCGATGGCTCCTGACCCGGCACCTGGGGCCGCCTGGGCCTCAGAGAGGGACAGACACAGCTTCTGCATCAGGGTCCCGCGTCCAGCCTCACGCCCCCTCACCACCCGCCCCAAACCGACGCCTCAAGGGCCGGGCCATCTCTTCAGCTCGGGCCCTGGTGCCAGCTCAGCCCAGGGGGCGCAGGGAGGGCTGGGGACCGAGGGGGCCGGGTCAGAAGCTGCCTCTCGTCTCTAGAAGAGGTGGGACCTCGGCGTCCGGCAGAGGCAGGTGAGACCCCCCCCCCCCGCCCGCCCCCGGGTTCCGAGCTCCAGGCCCAGGCCTTGCACGCGGCTGGCCCTGCGCCGCCTGGCCGGCTCTGTCCCGCGGTGCCCGGCGCTCGCGGGGCTCTCGGGGCTCCCCGGGGGGACGCTGACCCGGAAGCCGCAGGACAGAGGGACTGAGCCGGGGGAGGGCGGCCTCGGGTTCCCGGCCCCGCCCGCCGGCCAGGCCCTAGCGGAGGCCGCACCCCCCGGCCTGCAGCTTCTCCTGCCCCATGGCGCACACCAGGTCCTGCACGAAGCGCATCTCGGAGGCCACCTGCTTGGCCAGGGCCTCGTAGCGGTTCTCCAGGCGGCTGAAGCGGCGCTTGAGCCCGCTGGCCCCCAGCAGGGCGCCCTTGGCCTCCTCCTGGGCCTGCCGCCGCAGCGCCTCGGTCTTGTGCAGCTCCTGCCGCAGCCGCCGCAGGTCCTGGCCGATGCTGTCGTTCTCCTCCCGGTACCAGGCCTCCTTCTCCTCGTAGATGGCCGTCAGCGCCTCGATGTCCTCGTGGAACAGGCGCCGGCTGTGCTCCAGGCCGCGCAGGCCCTCCTCCGCCGCGGCCACCTCCTCCAGCACCTTGGAGAAGCGCTCGAAGCTGACGTACGTGTTGTTGGGGGGCATGCTCGAGTGCGACTTGATGGTGTACTCCTTGAGGCGCGCCGTCTTCAGGCGCCGCCGCTCCGGCTTCCGGCCGCCGTCCTCCCGCCGCACGTTCCGCCGCCGGATCGCCTGCGGAGGGAGAGGCGGGGCCTGAGGCGGGCGGGCGGAGCCTAAAGAAAGTCTCACCGGCACACGGCCCCGCCCCTTCACGGGGGCGGGGGGGGGGGGGGGTGCTGGTTCCGGCATTTCCCTGCCAGAGACCCAGGGGAAGGAGACACGGGCCGCCTGGCCCTTTACAGAAGACTGCCGCGCCCGGCCGAGAGGCCACCCCGTTCTGGAAGTTTCTGTGCAGGGAGCCGTGCCGCGTGCAGAGGGGCTGGGTACCCCACCGGGTATCACACGGAGGGGCTCCCACACCATCCCCGTGCACACCCCGCCCTCTGCCAGCCGGGTCCACTCCCCTGGGGACCCTGCCCGACACTCAGGCCTTGTCACACCTGCCGTCCTGGAGAGGGAGCAGCCCCGCCCATCTCACCTTGATCCAGGAATGCTCCAGGCTCTGGGCGATGGTCATTCTTCTCCTAGAAAAGCCCCCCCCCCCCCCACCCTGGTTAGTCACACGCCCGCCACGTCCCCATCCTCCGACGAGGCTGGCGGGGAGAACAGAACAGGGAAGGGGTTTTCTGGGCCCTCCCCCCGCAGCTCGGCTCCCTGCCCCCACCTCACACGGCTCACAGACACTGGCCCCCTGGGGACGCCCCTCCAGCCGGGGGCAAGTCCCTGAAATGACCTTGGAACTACCTGCACCCTCAGAGCATCCGCTCGGATCAGCCAGCAAGGAGCCCATCAAGAGGCCTGCTGCTCTGGGGTCGTCACGCTTTCCGAGCGGTTTTGTTACCGGGGGCGGGACCTAACGCTGGGTCTCGCCAACTCAGGCGCCCACAGGAGGGACAGGCAGGCGGCAAGAATGGGCGGCTCGGGCCAGGGAGGACTCTGGCCAAGAGGAGCACCTCTCTGGGAAGGAGGGCTCCGTGATGCCGGAAGCTTTAGTCCTCCCTAGGAGAAGACCCCCAGGAGTCTGCAATTGCCCACGAAACCTACCTTCAACAGGAGTCACAGCTCTCAACCAGGATTCTCAACAAGGATCCATTCACAGCTCTTAAAGACACGGCGGGGACCGAGCTAAGCCGTCCACTGGCCCGCTGCCAGGCCGTGCCCGACTCCCAGTGACGAGGAGGGGACAGCACGAGGATGTGCTCTCGTGGACCAGCGGCCTCCCCTGCCCGCCCCCCCCCCCCGCCCTCTGCCCGGCCAGCGCTCCTACTTGGGGTCTTTGACAAGCAGCCGGCGGATGAAGTCCTTGGCCAGCTCACTGGTGTTGCTGAAGTACTCCTCGTCGAAGTCGTAGTTCACGGCCGAGATGTTGGTCAGGGTCTCCTGCTTCGTCTCGCCCAGGAACGGGGAGGCGCCGCTCAGACTGGAAGACGGGCACGGGGCTCAGCGGCCCGTGTACTCGCCCCACCGACACGCCGCAGCCTGCGCCACCCCCCGGGCCTCCCGCGCACCCCGGCCCCTAGCCTCCCACCACACAGCACAGAAACCTCGCGCCCAGCCTCCGACGGGGACTCAAACGAGCGGGCAGAAGTCTCTAAGGAAGCTCGAAGCACGTCCCCCAAATGTTCAGCGATCAGAGGCCACACCGACAACCCGCGGGGGAATCCCTGCCGAGTGCGTCCACACACGGTCCGGGCACGGCCCGAGAGACCACACAAGGACATCGTGGGCCTTCCTGATGAGCCGCGCTGGGGGGGCCACGCCACCGCCCCCTGGGGCTCTGGGCACACGGCACTGTGACGGACAGGGAGGAGTACTCATCTGGGGGCACCCGGGGGGCTCGGTCAGTCAGGCGTCTGACTCTCGATTTCAGCTCAGGTCACGATCTCACCGTCGTGAGACGGAGCCTTGGGTGGGGGCTCTGCACCGACCGGTGGAACTCGGGATCCTCTCTCCCTGACCCTCAGGTGCTCACGCTCTCTCTCCCTCCCTCCGAGTAAACTTAACGACGACGACGACAAAAAGATGCCAGCGTCATGGGAAGACGGGTGAGGGGCACAGAAACCGCACTGGTTTTGTAGCTGTTTTGAAAGTCTAGCCTTTCTTCAATACTTAAGAACGTAAAACTATGAAAAAACCCATCGTGAGGCACCGTCAGGGTGGATCGCTGTGCCACCTGACGAGGGAGGAAAACGCAGGGGGAGCCTGCCTGGCGCAGGGGTGGAGGCGAGGAACAACCCAAACGCGGCACCCGGGGAGTGAGGCCGGGCCGGGCTGCTGGCCAGCAGGGAGGGAGGACACACGCGGTCCCCACTCGGCCCTGCACCAGGGGGTGTGGGGCCTTCTGAACTCACACCTTTCCCTCCTGCACAAATTCATTCACCCACCCAGCCACCCAGCATCCTGCCCCAGCAGGGCCCCAGGAGAAGCAGGAGGCCCCAAGCAGGCACTCACAGGATGTAGGTGATGACACCAATGCTCCTGGAGAGAACACACGGGAAGGACAGTCAGCTCAGTGGCGGCGGTCAGCACCCCAATTCCCAGAATCTCTCAACGGCTGGGGATCCAGAAGCCCACGGCCCCCTCTCCTTCAGGGTCTGCAAGGCCTCCACCGAGGGCCTCTGTCTCTCCCGCCCTGGCATCTCAGGGCGAGATATGAGCTCATCTGCCCACACCACCTGCCAAGGCTCAAATTGGGGGGGCTGGGGGGGTGCAGGCGTGGGCTCGAAGGCGGGTTGACAAGCTCCACGAAGAGTGAGACAAACAACGTTTCGGGCTTTGAGGCTCCCAGTCTCTGCTGCCTGTTTCATTTTTAACAACGCCTTAAACACAAGAAGACCACTCGGGACCCACAGACCCGCTCTGGCCGCCGGGCCATCGTTTGCCGAGCCCCGTTCTAAGTCGACGGTCTGTCCTGCCCACACCCAGCAGATGGGCCACATCCCCCCTGCGGCTGTGGCCTGGCAGTGCTCACAGATGGCTGGGGGGGGGGGTTCGGGTGCTTCGTCCCAGGGCGTGGGCCAGCCCCCCACCCCCACCCCAACCCCCCGCCACTCACCACATGTCTGCCTCCAGACCCAGGGGCTCGTAGTTGACGATCTCGGGAGCTGCGGGGACAGGGAGAGAGACGGCGTGGGGTCGGACGCCGGGTGCACCTGAGGCAGCCCCGGGGACGCGGCCACGGGGAGCGGGTGGCACAGCCCGCCTGCAGGGACCGCCTGGCGGGGGGGGGGGGGCAGGAGGCCGGACACCAGGGCTCGGGAGAGGACACCCGAGGGCGGGACCCGGGCCCGAGGCGCCGCACGGAGCCGTACCCACGAACTCGGGGGTGCCGAAGATGTTCTTGAACTCGTTCCCCGCCTCGATCTTGTGGGCGATGCCGAAGTCGATGAGCTTGATGCGTGGGTTGGGCACGTTCTTGTCCAGCAGCATGATGTTCTCTGGCTGCGGGAGAAGGAGGATGCCGCTGCCCAGCCGGCCCCGCACCCCCACCGGGCCCAGGCCGAGGCGGTCTGCGTCCCCCCCACCCCCGGCGGCAGCAGCCCGTGGGCGCGCTCTGAGCCGGAGCCCCTTGCCGCCCCCACGCCCCAGGTCACCCGCCCCGGCCGGGCCCCCGCTCGGCTCACCTTGAGGTCGAAGTGGGCGATGCGCTTCGAGTGCAGGTAGTGGACGCCGTCCAGGATCTGCTTGAGGAACTGGGTGGCCTCGTCCTCCGTCAGCGACTCCTTCTCCGCCAGGAAGTCGAAGAGCTCCCCGCCCGAGACCAGCTCCAGGATGAGCACCACGTCCGTCTTGTTCTCGAAGATGTCGTGCAGCGTGATGATGTTGGGGTGTCGGATCTCCCGCAGGATGTTCACCTCCCGCTCGATCTCCTCCCGGCTGACGCCCCGCCGGCTGGACGACAGGCGACGCTTCTTGATGAACTTGGCCGCGTACTCCTTCCCGGTGCCCTTCTGCCGGCATTTCCGCACAATGGCAAACTGGCCGCTGCGGGGACAGCGGAGGGAGCGGGACCCCGCGAGGGCCGGGGGGCGGGGGAGCGGGAAGGTTGCAGGCTTCCAGAACCTTCTGGGACTGCACCTCCCAGCCCCGCCCCTCCGGGAGTCCACGCGGCAGGTGCAATCTGGTGGCTACGTGGCATCTGTGTGCCACAGAAGGAAAGGGACACAGCTCGGGGCTTACGGAAGGGAGCTGGAGTCCACCGTGGGGCCAGGAGAAAGCGGGTGACAGGAGACACGCTGAGGACCCGCTCGGGGAGCCCGTGCCGCTTGGACGCGCACAGGTACTTCCGCGTGGGCAGGAGGCCAAGGGCCCGCACCCAACACTCACCACCCCATACGCCACCTGTGTCTCAAGGGGGCAGAGGGCTGGGGCAGCCAAGAGGGGGTCTTTACTTTTAAGTGACACAATTCTATACAAACTCGACTTTCTAGCCTATTTCATCATGTTTAAAAATCTAAGAGAAAAGAAATAAGCCACTGACTTTGAAGGAGCTTCTTACACAACCGGCCAAGTAAAAGGAACGCACCCATTTTCAAGCTGACAAAGAGAGGACAGGGGACCGGAGCGCGCCCACAGAAACAGGCTGGCGGTTCCCCGAGAGGTTAAGCACCGGTTCCAGGCGCCTCGGCAATCCCGCCCCAGGTGTCCCCCCAGGAGGAAGGACAACACGAATCCACAGAGAAGCGTGAACACAAATCCTACGTCAGCAGGATTCGCGAGAGCCTAAAAGGGGGACACAACCTGTGTCCATCAGCAGATGAATGGACACATAACGTGTCCACCACACGTGCACAAGTCCCTCCGCCACCAGCAGGAGCGAGGCGCCCACCCCCGCCGCCCCGCGGACGAGCCCCGAACACACGACGCTCAGGGAGAGAACCAGACACGAGAGGCCACGCGGGGTGTGAGTCCGCGTGTGTGAAACGTCCAGAACGGGCTCCTCCACGGACGGGAAGGGGGCTCGTGGGGGCCGGGGGCGGGAGTGACTGCTGATGGGGACGGGGCTTCTTTTTAGGGTGATGGAATGTTCTGGAATTATTTGGAGAGATGGCTGCAAAACCCTGTGAATACACCGACGATCACTAACTTGCACACTCGAAAGGGGTGAACTGCACAGTATGTGAATTACATCTCAAGACAGCTGCTACTAAAAGAGAGACAGAAAGCCTATTCGATGCACTCTGGGGAGCTGTCCAACGTCCAAATTATTCTGCTATCCAGGAACTTAGTTACATGAACTTACTTTAACTCAAGAGCTGACTGAAAAAGGCCAGACAGCGAATATTTTTAGCCTTACGGGCCATGTGGTTTCTGTCATAATTCTTGTGTGTTTTTACAGCCTTTCAAAAAAAATAAAGAACCACTCCAGGCTCCCAGGCAGGCAGGACCGCACTAGGCCGGGCCGGATTTGGCCACGTCAGCGGGGACCAATTCCAAGACAGAAAGTACACGTTCCAGACAGAAAACTTCACGGCACCTCCAGGGCTCGAGAGAAAACAGGCTACATGAGATCTCGGGGAAATGGGAGAGAGAGGAAGGAAGGGCAGAGACGGGGGCGGCCAGGCCCTCTGAAGCTGGCGACGGCAGAGGCAGGGCAGGCCGGCCACAATGACCCTGGGAACAGACAGAGGTTGGGGCGCCTTTGCCCAGCCAACACGGACCTCAAAGAGACCGAGGGACCCAACCGGGTCTGTCCGGTAAGCGGACCCGCCCACGGGGGCGTCACAGATGTGCTCTACGCACACACAATTGGAAGACGGGTGGAGTTCAAGGTGGGTCAGTGGGAGATGCAAAATTAACACGAACACGGCGGGCTGAACAGTCCCTCCAAAGACGCCCACGTCCAAATCCCCAGAACCTGTAAATACGGCGCGCTCACGACAAAAGGGACCTTGCAGGAGGGAGCAAGCCAAGGCCCCTGAGACGCTGGGGCCCACCCCCGGCGCCCGGGGCGGGGGGGGGCGCCAGCGTCCTCAAGAGGTCCTCACAGGAAGAAGGCAGAGAGACGGGTGGACCCCACGCTGCTGGCCATTGAGGACGGAGGAGCGGCCGAGAGCCAAGGCTGTGGCATCGCTGGAAGCCGGAAAAGGCCGGAGAGGGGTCTCCCTGGGGCCCCGGGGGGTACCAGGCCCGTTTTAGACTCCTGACTTCCAGCCCTTCTAGGCCACTAAATCACGGTGAGTTGTTACAGTGCTGACGGGAGACTCAAGCACTGATCTGAGAGCCAAGTGCACGGGTCAGCCGAGAAAGGCAAAGCGTTCCTGATCAGGCCTCGCCCCGTGCCCCCTGATCTGCCCCAGCAGTCCCTTGGGACATTATGCTTCTGCCCCCCACCACGTCTCCACTAACACTCCCCCCACCCTTAACGCCTGCCCGTCTCCTCTGCCTGCACCAGCCCAGCTAATTCCTCCAGGCCCACCTCCCGTCCCATCACAACGCCCCCATGGTAATGACATCAGATGCCAAACACTCACCACGTAGCACTGTGCTAAGTGCTGGACCTGTGGCCTCATTTTCAAATACAGGGATTGTTTTTCCCTGCTTTACTTTTTTTTAAAGTTCATTTTAAGAGAGGAAGGGTGTGTGTGAGCGGGGAAGGGGTGGGGAGAAGAGACAGACAGACAGACAATCCCAAGCAGGCCCCATGTGGCAGCACAGAGCAGGATGCAGGGCTCGAACCCACGAACCGTGAGATCATGAGCCAAAACCGAGCTGGATGCTTAACTGGCTGTGCCATCCAGGCGCCCTTCCCCTGCTGTATCTAAGCGGAGCCAACAAATGGAGACGAGTCAGGCAAAGCTCATGGGAACAGGAAGAAAGACACTACTAAAGGGTGAACCGTGTCCCCCAAAAGTCCATGTGTCAGCCCTAACCCCCAGCATGTCAGAATGGGACTATCCAGAGACAGGGCCTTTCTAAAGAGGTGATTAAATTAAAATGAGCTCACAGTGGGGGCGCCTGGGGGGCTCAGTCGATCGAGCATCCAACTTCGGCTCAGGTCACGATCTCACAGTCCGTGAGTTCGAGCCCAGCGGCGGGCTCTGTGTTGACAGCTCGGAGCCTGGAGCTGCTTCGGATTCTGTGTCTCCCTCTCGCTCTGCCCCTCCCCCGCCCGCACTCTGTGTCTCTCTTTCTCTCTCTCTCTCAGAAATAAACATTTAAAACAACAAAAAAAAAATGAGCTCACAGGAGTGGACCTGAATCCAATCTGACCGGTGTCCCTGTAAGAGGGGAGTAGGACACAGATGCACAGACAGACGCACAGCCCTACGAAGCCACAGGAAGAAGACGGTCATCTGCACGCCCAGGACAGAGAGCTCAGGAGGAACCAGCCCTGCCGACGCCTTGATCTTCCGACTCCCCGCCTCCAGCGCTGGGAAAGCACGACTGTCTGCTGCCCCCAGTCACACTACCGGGTCGCGCGAGCCGATAGGGGCACAAACGCCACTCTACGAGGCGGAAGCCAGAGCCAAGTCCACACCTGTCGACCCACAGACTAAGTCATTTCTCGAGACCATCAACGTGAACTCCAGCTAGGAAAAAGAATCCCCCGACCCCTCCCAAAGACACACACACATACAAACTTGCTTCCGGGTCATTTGTCCCCATGGCCCCTGGGACAAGAAAACGTGGCCCTGCTTCACTCATGGTCCTCGTCAGCACGGCGAGGCCCAGCAGCTAATTTGCCAAGACGGTTAGCGGTGACACCGGGGGAGACACAGCTGGGCTGCGGGCCCCGCCTTCAGGGGTGCCAACCGAGCGGGGCACAAGGACGCACACTCTTTCCAACGTGCAGGGCCTGGTCTCCAGACCCGAAGCCCACTTGGCCACTCGCGGTCCGCAAGGCCCTCCTCTCAGCCCCTGCTTCCTCATAAAGTGGGGATGACGACCACGCCCCCCCTTGTGAGCGACATCTATAATTTATACAAACTGCACCACAGCCTGTGTGGCATCCAGTGCCTTTCATTCCGCATTTCATGTTATCTCCAAGCACCTTCTGGATCCTTACATACAGCGGCACTGTCCCAGATGACAGCCACCGGCCACACAGTGGCCCGCCAAGCCGGTCCAAACGGAGATGTGGAGCGCCGGGGGTGGCTCAGTCGGTTGAGGTTCCGACTCTTGATTTTGGCTCAGGTCACAATCTCCCGGTTTGTGAGATCGAGCCCTGTGTCCTGCCCCAGTTCTGGGCTGGCAGCATGGGGCCTGCTTGGGATTCTGTCTCTCCTTCTCTCTGCCCCTCCCTCCCTCCCCCAAAGTAAATAAATAAATATTAAAAAAAAAAAAAAAAAAAAAAACGAAAAACTGAGACGTGTTGTCAGCTTCTAGAAACACACCAGATTTGAAAGCTTCATAGAAAAACAGCAGTAGAATTTTTCCTTCGTAATTTTTACCGCGCAAGCAAAAAGGTCATACTTCGATCTGTTGGCTTAAATAAAATGTATTAAAATTATTAAAATTGACACAGCCTCTACCAAATCTCAATATACTTCCTACGTGGCGAACATTATACAGGTTGCCTGGCTCTTTTTTCGTTTTTGTTCTTCTAATTTTTTTTTAACGTTTTTATTTATTTTTGAGAGAGAGAGACAGAGTACAAGCTGGGGAGGGGCAGAGACAGAGGGAGACACAGAATACGAAGCAGGCTCCAGGCTTTGAGCTGTCAGCACAGAGCCCGACGCATGAACCGTGAGATCACGACCTGAGCCAAAGTGGGATGCTTAACCGACTGAGCCTCTGAGGCATCCCTGGAACAGGGGTTTCTTTTTTTTTTTTAATGTTTACTTATATTTGAGAGAAAGAGAGAGAGAGAGAGAGAGAATGAATGGGGGAGGGGCAGAGAGAAAGGGAGACACAGAGTCCGAAGCAGGTTCCAGGCCCTGAGCTGTCAGCAGAAAGCCCGACGCGGGGCTCGAACCCACACGCTGCGAGATCATGACCTGAGCTGAAGTCGGAGGCTTAACCGACAGAGCCGCCCTGACGCCCCTGCCTGGCTCTTTGTTGATGGCTGCATAATATTCCATCTACAGGGGCGGTGGTTCCGTGGCAGCCACTGAAGAGGCTCCCCGCCCTCTGTCCATAAAAATCCTTACAGCAACTCTCGCTGTTCTCAGGCCACGGGGTCCGCACGCGTACACATTCCCACTGAATCAATTCCTAACAGTGCAAATAGTGGATTAAGGGGAACGTACACAGGACGTGTATATCTCCTTCGTATTTCCTTCGGACTTCTGCCGAGCCACCCTCGGGAGGAGGTCCTGACACATTTTCAACAAGAATGAGGTTTGGGGGAGGAGTGAGGGGAGCTCCATTCTCTACCACTCTGTTAAGGAAATTCCTAAAGGAGGGACTTCAGAATCCCAAACGGGCCTGAAATACTTTCTCAGCCAAGGTCTGATGCACGGCTCAGTTATTTACATTCCCTTTTGGTGACATCATAGGGCTGGTCAGCAGCGAACTCACCAAATAAGGTCTGAGGCTCCGGCAAGAAAAAAAAAAAAAAAGGATGATGTCTGGCTAGTCCAAGGCAGGGGTGCTCCCGGGGGACAGGAAATCAGCTGCCTGCCTGGAACGGGAAACCTCCTCTCTTTCCCACAAGAATGCTAAGGGAATCGGTCACCTCCCTCAAGGAAGGATTAAACAGAGGGACAGACCTTTACCACCTACCGCTCTGTCTCACGCCACGCGGCAGGCACTCTGTTAGGGGCTCCATGTGCTTGATATGTTTCCCCAAGGGAAAGGCACAGAGAACGTCAGAGCAAGAATTTGCGGACGGGGCCGCCTGACCCCAGAGCCTAAGTTCCTTCTACCAGCACACGGCACTGACTCACCCCGTCTTGGAGGGTAGGAAAGAGGACAGGAGGGGAGACGCCATCCAGAAAACCCCGCAACGCCTCCCTCCCGCCCCCGAGGCCCGCGCAGAGCTCACCTGCCCAGCTCCTCCCCCATCTCATAGTAGTCCTCCACATCTTCCTGCCTGAATGTTGACATGGTGGTCGGTCGGCCTTCCGGTGCCTTCCCCTCCAGTGAAAGGCCGGAGACACGATCTCAGGGAGTCCCTTAGCTGTGACCCTGGAGGAGACAGGGCAATAGGGAAGACGTGACATGCCAGCCGTTTCTCCTAGGGAAGAACAACCTGCCCCCCACCCACTCCCCGAGATAAGTTCCACGCTCCTCACAGAAGGCACATGCATGTGGCGGGCGGGGTACTTTCCTGCGTTAGCGCACTTACACACCCCACCACCCAAAAGGGTGGCAACCCCACCGTGCCACCTTGGCCCCGTAACTCCGCCAGACCCAGACCTCTGGCTCCCCACACACTGCCCCAGCCTTTCTCTGCCTCTCCTTCCTAGGTTTCTCCCAATCTGCTCAACCAAAGCCCCCCCCTACGTTCCTGCAAGTTCCCCCACACTCGTCACACCCCCAAAGCCAGGGGCTCCCTCACTCCTACCCAATTTGCTAAGGTGCTCCAGTCCCGACACCCACCTCCCTGCCCATCAGCCACGTTAACCTCTCCTCGGCCTCACCCATTCCCCCCACAAACCCCCTGACCGCCCCAGATCTCCTAAGACCTTGCGCGGCCGTGTGCTTCCCCCCAATCCTGAATTCCTCAGGAACTGAACAATGGCTTCCAAGCCCCTGCAAGGTCCCTGCCCGCCCTTGCCTCCCGCTGACGTCCACCGCCCCAAGGAGACTAACTCTTCCCCGCTCCTCCCAGGCATCCCTCCAGGTACCAGAGGCTCCCCAGCCCGTCTCCCCGGCCACATCTGAGAGTCTCCTCCGTTGTCGCCTCCCCCAACCTTCGCACACGCTCTAGGGCAGGCCCCTCCAAGGTCTCTCCCAGCCCCAACGACCCCGCTCCGGCGTCCCCCAGGCCGCCACGCCCCTCGCGAGCCCGGACCCAGTCCTTTCCCCGGCCCGCTTATCCCAGGGGTCTCCAGACGTCCCCCCAATGGCCCCCGAAGCGCCGCCTCGGCCTCCCCAGCCCGCCGGCCACGGGCCGCGCCCGCTCCGCACCCTCCGCGGCTCCGCGCCCCGGGCCGGCCCTCTGCCGCGCTGGCCACCGCCGCCCTCTCCAGCCCAGCCACCGCGGCCGCCGGGACGCGCCGACCTGCGTGACGTCACCGCGCCCGCCGGGGCCCGCCCTCGGGAGGCGGGGCCCGCCGCCCATTGGTCAACGCGCCCGCCGCTCGTGACGTCCCGCCCCACCCGCTGCCTCCCAGGCCCCGCCCGCTGGCGTCGGGGCCCCCGAACCCGGATGCCGCCTCGCCACTGGCCGCCAGGCTCGTCGTCACGCAGCACATTGGCTGGAACTAACGTCGGTCACACTTAGGAAGTCGGAAGGCCGACTTCCGGCCCCCGGGCTGCCCCACCCGCTGTCCTCCGACCCGGGTCCTGAAGCTGAGAGGTGCGGTGCTGAAATCCTGCGTCCCTCTCTTCCTGCCCTTCCTTGAGCAATACGCGAACGCAAAGCCCAGCTCCCGCCTGGCCGCTCCTGGGGTGGACACCCCCGGGGCCGCTTTAGTCCCTGAGTTGCAGCTTCCTCCTCTGTGAAATGTCACCCCCATTCCAAATACACAAGAATGCAAATGAGGCCAGTCCGGTGTCCCCTGTCGTGCTTCATCCTTGACTCCCAGGGTTTCCCGATAGGTGCTACAACCGCTAGTTAGTACGTACCAAACTATGTTACTATTTCTCCCGTTCTACAGATGGGGAAGCTGAGACCCAGAGAGGTTAAGTAACCCACCCAAAGTCAAACAGCCAGTAGATGGCATAGCTGAGATTCATTCCCGGAAAGACCCGAACCCAAAGCCACTGCTGAACCACTGCAGATGCCACCTGACAAAAGACCCCGTCTTTTGACTTTCACCAACCACCCTGACCTCATGCCATTACCATGTCTCCTGATTGAATCGTTACATCTTAGTCTGGTACACTTGTCACCGCTGGAGAACCAACACTAACACGTTATCCTAACCAAGTCCACACTTTATTCAGATGTTTTCCCTAATGTCCTTTCTCTGCCTCAGAATCCCATCCAGGACCCCCCGTGATATTTAGTCCTTAGAGTCCTCTGGCTGTGAGCTTCTCACACTTCCGTTTGTTGAGGACTTTGGTGGCAGTTTCAAGGAGTACTGGTCAGGTATTTTGTAGAATGTCCCTCAACTGAATTTGTCTGGTGTGGTTTTCGGACACTGGGGTGATGGGTTTTAGGGAGGAAGACCACAGAGGTCAAGTGCCCTTCCCATGACACCTTAACAAGGCTCCAGAATACCAACAGGACATCACTGTTGATGTTGACCTGGGTCACCTGGTTCCAGGCAGTGTTTTGTCAGGTTGCTCCAGAATTCGTCCTTCTTTCTCCCTTTCCCATACTGCATTCTTTGTAAGTTACTTATGCAAAGCCCGTACTTAGGAGTTGGGACATCATTTTTCTTGGGGTGAAAAAAAAAGGCCTGACAAGCTATAGATAGGAAATTAGACTTGGGCACGTGGCAGACATTTTCTCACAAATGAACAGATCAAACCTCTCTGGGGCACCTGGGTGGCTCAGTCGGTTAAGCATCCGACTTCAGCTCAGGTCATGATCTCACAGTTCGTGAGTTCCAGCCCCATGTCAGGCTCTGTGCTGACCGCTCGGGAGCCCGGAACCTGCTTCAGATCTTGTGTCTCCCTCTCGGACCCTGCCCTGCTCAAGCTCTATCTCAAAATTAAATGTTAAAAAAAAGGGGGGGGGGGGGCCCCGGGGTGGCTCAGTTGGCTAAGCGTCTGACTTCAGCTCAGGTCACGATCTCGCAGTTTGTGGGTTTGAGCCCCGCGTCAGGCTCTGTGCTATTAGCTCAGAGCCTGGTGCCTGCTTTGGATTCATTCTGTGTCTCCCGCTCTCTCTGCCCGTCCCCAACTTGCACTCTTTCTCTCTCAAAAATAAACATTAAAAAATAGTAAGTAGGGGCGCCTGGGTGGCGCAGTCGGTTAAGCGTCCGACTTCAGCCAGGTCACGATCTCGCGGTCCGGGAGTTCGAGCCCCGCGTCGGGCTCTGGGCTGATGGCTCAGAGCCTGGAGCCTGTTTCCGATTCTGTGTCTCCCTCTCTCTCTGCCCCTCCCCCGTTCATGCTCTGTCTCTCTCTGTCCCAAAAATAAATAAAAACGTTGGGAAAAAAAAATTAAAAAAAAAAAATAGTAAGTAAATAAATGTTAAAAAAAATTTTTTTTTTAAAGTCACTCTTGATTTCGGCTCAGGTCACGACCTCATGGTTCGAGTGTCTAAGCACCATGTCGGGACTCCATGCTGGTAGTGCAGAGCCTGCTTGGGATTCTCCAAACTTAAAAAGAAACCGAAACCATCACTTCAAGGGAAACAAGTGACCGTATTTGTCGCCAATGGTGAATTCGAGCTTTTAAGCAAAAAATTAAAAATCTCAAAACTTGCTTGACCGTTTCCTGCCTGATAGCCAGCGCTTCTGTGATGAAATCACTGTTAACGAATGTGACCTTTCGATATTTTTTAATGAAATGTGCCAACAGCTGTTCGAGCAGCAAACTTGGTATATGCCATTATTTCCAAGTAACCAAGACATGAGGTCACAAAATCGTGCAGAAGGGAAAGGACACTTTCAAAGCGCAAGATGAGCCAGTGGTGTTTCGTGAAACAGTATGAAAAGCTCCTTAACGTGGCTTCAGATACCACACTGTAATTACTCTCTTAAGAAATTACCCCCGGTTGGGGCGCCTGGCGGGGGGGGGGGGGGGGCCCCTCAGTCCTGACTAGAGCAACCAGCAGAATCACACAAAATCAGTACAATGAAAACAGTGAACAATACACACAGACACAAAGACACCCACTTGCGACACGTCAATGCTTGGGTGTAATTACAGACCTCATGTTGCCAGGTCGACCCCTGCAAATGGCATTTCACATTTGACAGAAATTGCACAAGGACAGAGGTGCAGGATTAGCAAGCCAAGGACCACAGGTGGCGTACGAATTTATAGTCGGTTTAAACTTAAAACACACTTCAAGTTTCTATTTATGACAGTGGTGTCTTTGACAAGATTACTGGATGTTAAAAATGTGCGAAACTAAATGCCATGTGGCATCCTGGCTCGGACCCTGAAACAGTGTAGAAAACTTCCACGGAAAACCAAGAACACCATTGGTCACTTAGCACATTTCTGTAACATCTTTGCAAACTTTTCTCTAAGTATAAAAACTATTCAAAAACAAGCTAGCTTATAAAAGTGCACAAAATACTTGCGTGCGTGTCAAGCACATTATGTTTTGAATAACCTTTCCCAATGTGAATGACCTCTGCTGTTGGAAGGTGCTGGGGTCAGAGACTGAACCAGACAACTCACACGTGCAGTGCTGTCCCATGCAGTCCTGACATCCATCATCCCACAGGCTCCTTCTAAACGTTGTTGGGGTCCCCTACACTGGTGACCCAGAAGACCTCCTGAACTTCCACAGCAGCTCCCCACAGGGCAGCGTCACTGTTGAAACAATGCATCCCGGATGTTCCTTATGCAAGAGGCACTGGCTAGTAGGAAGATCTTAGTCCTACGCTGCCTAGAATTTCACGTTTAAGGTTAGAAGTCTAATGCCCAAGATGACTTTTTCTCAACAGCCATCCAGCTGGACAAGACAAGCGACCCGGCGGCAGACCGTTCTGTGCTGTCCCCTCGCTGCAGTCACGTCCGAGCCGACCACGATGGAGAAGGCAGCTCCGGCCCCGTCAGACCACAGCAGTGGATTTACAAGGTCACCAAGTCAGGGCCCATTTCAAGCGCCCAACAGGCGGGGGCCATGGTGGGCGGCTGTCCCCCTGCACAGGGTAGGTGTGAGGCTCCACCATCATGACGTGTCCCACTGGACAACAGATGTGACAGATGGGAGCCCTGTGTGACTGCTGGATGGGCCTGGCACCTGGGCCTGGCACCTGAAAGGGTACTTCAAGGTCAGCTCCGGCCTTCTGTGTGGCAGCACTTGGGAGCCCGCCGCGGGCTGACCGGACAAGGAACCACGTGGACACATACACAGTCACCACCATATCAAATTTATTATTCCAATGGCACTAATACAGCTGGGGGTGCTCACGGTGACACTGCACAAAGTTTCCTGCCTTCTAGCTTCTGTCCAAAGATAAAGGTCTACCCGCTTGTTCCTTCCCCCTTTCTGGGGGAAAATCCACTACGGGCCATTTACCCAAATAAACCTCTTAATGCGTTTTTCTTTTTTTTTTTTTGGACATTTGAGTTTCTGAAATGGAAAAAAAAAAAAAAATTTTTTGTTTCCCCTCCCGCCCCCCCCCCCCCGGCCAAATAAGTCCCTGCTGCCAGGGCATTTCTGTTGCCTCTGATATCCTGAAATAAATATCGAAAGAAACGGCATCGAGTGTTCACGTTGAGTGATGGCACAGAGTGGGCCCCAGAACCCGTCAGGCGGAGCGTCACTGTGGACAGTCTCGAGGTGTCATGGAGAACGCGAGGGCTTACGTGGTTGATCGTCAGCCGGGTGCAGGGGCTGTGCGGAGTCCCACCCGGGAGGGAGGGCGGGCTGCAGGGAGGGCGGCCTACAACTTGTCCAGGAAGTTGTCCAGGGCTGGGATGCCTTCCTTCAGGCCCTTGCGCTTGCGTGTTTCGGCTACCACCTGGCTGGGGCGGCTGGTGTTGTCGAAGGGATCCCCGGGCAGGATCTGCCAGTGGTCGAAGACGCACTGGGGGAAGGCCTGGCCGCCGGTGTTGGACCTCAGGTCAGCAGTGAAGCCTGCGGGAAGGGACAGGGCTCACTGGCGGGCTCGGGAGACCCGGCTCCTGCTGCCACCGTGGCAACGCCCGGGAGGAGACACTGGGCACGTGGAGATCAGAGCCCAGTCACCCCGACCGAGTCACGCTAACGTTAACGCTACCCCATATCTCACCTGGGCCCTGCACCAAGACCGCTCGTTATAAGGGACACAGAGTTGGCCACTCGGGGGCCTCCCTCTGCCCACCCGCAGTACGAACCCGAGCTACGTGCTGCTGGCTTCCATCTTGGCGCCAGGTTACACACCCAAGCCGTCTCCCCCTGCAAATTCACCACGTCCACGTAACGAGCAGACCACGTGATCCCCTACAAGCGTGCTGTGC